GTGGGTAGGGGTGAGCGAGCGAGTCCTTTACTCCAAGCGACAAGATGCACCCTCCACCGCCCGTCCCCTCGGGCGCCACGAGAACCAATCTCGATCGTTTGGCCGTCCTCGACGGGGGCTCCTGGCACCGAGAGCCAGTTTGCCCGCTGTGGCTTGTCGGTTCGATTCCCGTGTCATGCCCTCCCTCCCCAACGACCGGTATGGTTCTCCCTGTCAGTGTTATTCGCAAGCGAAGTGTATTATCTGCGACTGTTCCCGATGTCGACGTTCCAAAGGGCTCTTGGTTCAATCGTTCGAAGCTAAAAGTTTCGTCATCGTCATCACAATCCAAGGGTGATTAGCCCCGTAGGCGTCCACCGCACATTTCGAAATTTGAAACCCACTTTCCTCCGTCGTGTGCCAAATCTACTCGAGTGGTGCCACATCTTTCCAGCGCCAATCTCGTAGGTCTTCCCCTCTTTCCGCTTCCCTCCATTTTTCCCCCGAACAACGGTACACTTTAAATTTTCCCGTTGTCGTCCATTCTGAAAGTTTAGCTGTTGCGAACCGATGAGTCTTAAGCCCCCAGGGTGTGCTGCTTGTTGTAAATGATACCGGGTCGTGTGTGATTTTCAAAGCAATGCATTATTAAAATACTGTACCCAGGTTTCTCTTGACCACCGTGTACAAGTGCACACAGTTGGTACGGGTTAGATCTCGCCAGACAGGTTTACACAACATCACAAGCACCGCCTCGTTTGTTTTGCACCGGAACATAATCTCTGTCTGAGCCTCGACTACGGCCTCTCCTCTCGGGCAATCAAATCTCATCCTGGCTCATTTCACAAACCCGAGCCGCTCCTTCGTCCCCGCCGTCATTTACATTATTTAACCCTCTCCCTCCCTCACCCTCCCCCTCCTCTTTGCTGCGTTCGCTTTCAGCCGGCATGCCGGGATCCCGTGACCCCCGGGGGGGGGGATACTCGTTGGCTTGCCGGGTCTTGCCGCTGTGTCTTTCTGCTGGCGAGGCGACGCTACCTCGGGTGACGCGCCCGGCCCATCGGCAGGAGTTTCGCGCGTGTCGGCCCGCGGCTGAAAGCTAAACCTGTGAAACGATTTTTTTTATTTTTACCAGGTAAGGCCCACCGAGCTTTCTTGCTCTTTTTCCGAAGCGACCTTGCTATCACGAACGATGGCTCAACGAAGTGGCTTATCACCGTGCGGAAATTTACGGTGGCCAAAACACCCTTTCGCCGCGTGACGTTGAATCTCTCAATGTGGAGGGAAAGACGTGGAGGACCCGGAGAAAAATCCACACGACGACGGGGAGAGACCGGCACGCAAACTTCAAATATACAGCAGCAGGCGTCCGGGTTGGGATGGAACCCACGACCTCCTACATACCAGGCGAGGTAGTTAACATCTCGCCACCGCGGCTCAGAGTGGGCGGCGGCTGCTTTGTAAACCAGCCGGTGTCGATTGGCGCCGTTGGCGGTGCTTCGGCCGCGGCAACGTCGACCGCTTACCATTATTTTTTTAAAATTCTCGCGCTCATTTACCCAGCGAACGTCTCCACCCGAGGCGTTCGCACCGCGTGTGCCTGGGCGTGCGATCCGAATTGAGCGGCCAAGACTTTGCTTGTTTTTCTGCTCCCGTCTTAGCGCCGCCCCCCCCCCCCCCCCCGGGAGAAAGGTCGATCCTTTTTATTTCGGTGAACCTACCGTCCGAGAATGTGGAGTCGAGCGGTCTCGGAGGCCTGAACGATGAGTTGCGCGCTACCGAGAGAGACCAGGGTCCGAGCCGACCGTGATTAAAGCGTGGCGAGCGGTGGTCTCAACACAGCTGGCGGTAACTGCGACAACAACAACAAAACTCCCAGAGAGAGGCACGATTAAACTCGGTTGTGCACTTAATTTGGCTAAATGCAGGTCTGAAAATAGGAGGAGAAAAAAGATCGTATTGATTGTCGCAGCGATGAACATTACTCTCATGAAGCAGGACGGGCGGGAAAGTTCTGCTCCTTGGTGTGGATAAGAGTTCGCTTTGAGTTTTCAGGGCTCAGTTCTGTGATATCATCTTCCGCGGCCCCTTCTCTGACCATCTCATTAGGCAGAGCGTTTACGTAAGCGTGACGGCTACTGTTTGAACTACTCTCGCGCCGTACATAGCCGAACGTGCTAATCGAAAAGGGGCCATAATAGTAATGATAATTACTATAAGGGCCACCTGAAGGAAAATTCCCGGAAAAAAAAATCCAACGCGGGCGTTCTCTCACTGTCACGTGGAGCGCCGTGCTGTGCGGTTCACAAACGATGCAAATGTTACGCAAATTATAAACGTCGGCAGCTGAAGTGGAATGAGACTTTGCAAAAACGAGACGGGAACAAACGAGAGAAACAATCTTCACGAGATGTCCTCCCACCCCCGCCAAATAATAATAATAATAATTCAGATGGCGGGTTCACGCATCGAAAAGTTGGAAGGCGCAACATGAGTGACTAATGTGATGGTAATGACGACAACACTGATGATGAGTGTGATGGTAATCACGATCACGATGGAAATGGTGTCTCATGATGGTCACATCATTGGCGATGACGACCATGATAATGATGTTCGTTACAGTAACGTCTAAACGGTGACGAAAATGCACGCTACTTTGACGTTCGCCACACGATCTTACATTTTTAACGCTGTGATGACCCGCGCCTTTTTTTGGTGCTGTCGCACATTCTCGCTCCCTTTGTCGGGAAAATAATAAACGGCCCAAGTCGGCGGCGAGTCACGTGTGCGTTTAGCCCGGCAGAGGTGAACGGATATCATTTAAAAACAAGAGGGAAGGCGAATCGATACCTAAAAGAGTTGACATTTCCGCAGAATGGGCAACATTTCCGGCGTCGAGGAACAATCCGGCAGGGCCTCGGCTCTACTGAGGGGGCTCTGTGGCTCTTTTTCTCGTAAGCGACCCTCGCCATCGCCAATGATGGCTCAGCCAAGTGGCTCGTCGACACGCGGAGATTTATATCGGCCAAATACTCTTAAACGCGTGGCGTTGATTCTGAACGTGGAGGGGAAAATCCGGAGGACCCGGAGACAAATCCACACGACCACAAGGAAGAGACCGGCACGCAAACTCCAAATATACGGCAGCAGGCGTCGGGGTCGGGATCGAACCCACGACCTCCTGTAGACCAGGCGAGGTATTCAACATCTCCTGGCCACCGATTGTTTTTGTAGCCGCCGCTCGCCCTCCCACCTGACTGACCCCAGGGTTGAGCGACCCCTTGGCAGACGGCTTCCTCCCCTCGCACCCAACAAATAACGCGACCGCAGAGGTGGGCAGGGTGGCAGGGGAGGTCGGAGCCCAGAGATGACCCCGCCCAGCGCTTCGTGAGTCAGGGCTCTCAAATGCAGTGGGGATTGATGGTCTCAGCCCGGGCCATCATTGACTTTGCAACAACAACAAAATTCATCGCGGAAAAATTTCCCTCTGAACTAATTTTTTTTTAATCTCGTTCAGGTTATTAGGATTTTTTTCTGCTGCTATAAATGTCCACGTGATAAGCCACTTCGTTGAGCTATCATTTGTGACCAGGTTGTGTTATGAAGAATAGGTCAATACCTCAGTGGCCTTTATCTGGTAAGGTAAAAATATTTTAGTTTCATTTGTATAATTTTAAGTGATTTGTTTACCTTTCCCTTACTTTGCACTTCTGTTGCGTTGTTGATGACGGACGCTTGTGTTGTGCCCGAAACGTCGTGATTTAATTTTTTTTTTTATTTTCTACCTACGTGACTTTGCCGAAAGAACCAAAGAGTAAGGATCATTGCAGTCACGAAAACTTCAAATCTAGGTTGTTGGTACTGTTTGTTGTTGTAACGTCCTGACCCGTCCCGGCTGGACAACTGTGAAAAAGAGCTTCATAGCTCATCGGATTCCTCCAGTATGAATAAATATTCTGATTCTGATCATTTTTGGCAAATTCCATCTCTGAGAATTACAGACGTCGGTGTGAGTGTCGCGCGACGGACATCGCTCCCGTACGCCGGAGTGGGTGGGAAAGTGCAGCCCCTCTGCTGTGTGGGCCAGAGGTCACCGTGAAGGGATCTCAGAGGTAGCTCTGTGATGTCCGCTTCCGTGGGCCCCTTTTCTCTGATGCATTGAGCTGCGCTGCTCTGCGAGAGCGGTCTGAATGGATTAAACATCTCGTGACGCGATGCCGGTAGGGCAGTTGGCAGCTATTGTAGGCAGATTGGGATCAACGTGTGATGCTGTTATTGACGATGTTGATGCTCGTGTTGATGCTGCTGTTAATGATGGTCTGGATCAACGGTCCCCAACCTTTTTAGCACCAGGGACCGGTTTCGTGGAAGACTTTTTTCACGGACCGGGGAGGGAGGGGGGGGTTCATCATTGGGTCTTTCCCCCTTTTCAAAGAAGCTCTCCAGTGACGTTTGTTTTTTACTCATTGTGGCTACTAGGGGTTAGAGCTTGTGGGCTTACCAACACCACGTGACCGAGACAAGTGCGCAGTGCGGGAAAGAGGCGCGGACGGAAGTGGTAAATAATAAAATAATGGGGCGCGGGCCACGCGCGGACTCACAGCTCTCACCTCCTGCTGTGTGGCCCAGTTCCTAACAGGCCACGGACCGGTACTGGGGGTTGGGGACCCCAGGTCTAGATGATAATGATGCCAATGCTGTTCATAATGATGATGATGATAATGATGATGATGACAATCCTGGCGACGACTGTTGTTGATGGTCTTGATGATGACATCGTTTATAATTATGCCGCTCTTCATGATGACGATGATGGTGTTAACACGCGTGATGCTGTTAGTTATAACCCCCGACGATGCCGTTAATAAACGACGGTGCCGCCGCTGATGATGACGACGACTAACGATCCCGACGCCGATGACGACGATCCCGACGACGATGCCGTCAGCGTGGACGATGCCGCTTCCGATGATCCCGCTGTTGCTGATCCCGGGTGCCCGGATCCCGTTGTGTCGCAGGAGCCATGGTCAAGCACCAGCCGCTGCAGTACTACCGGCCCCAGCTCTGCCTGTCGTGCCTCGCCGGCCTGTACGGCTGCCGGTGGAAGCGCTACCAGCGCTCGCACGACGACTCCACCAAGGTCGCTGTGGGCGAGCGGGCGGCAGCGGGGGGGCGAGCAAACGTCGCGCACGCACGCACACACGCACACACACACGCACACACGCACGTACACACACACGCACACACACACACACGCACACACGCACACACACACGCACACACGCATGCACACACGCACGCACGCACGCACACACGCACGCACGCACACACACACGCACACACACGCACACACACACACGCGCGGCAGCGTAGCTGTTAGCGCTAGGCTGCGCCACGAACCCGAGTTCGAAGCCCGCGCACGGCCAACACCGGTGACGATTATCAGAACCGGTCCTGGGCCTCCCCTCAATTGAGTATCTAGTGCGATGTGTAAACATCGCTACTGGGGGAGACAAAGGCGGGCCCGGGCGTGGTGCTGGCCACCTCCACCCCCTCGTGTGCCGTGCCGGCCTTCATAGGTGCTCGCTAACAGCACTTGCCCCGACAGTCTGTTAAGGCTATACTGGGGCGGGAATATGCGTGCTTGTGAATATTTGCGTGCGTCTGTGTCTTGGTGTGAATTCACGTGATTGCCTTTTTGCGTGTGTTTGAATATACGTGCGTGTTTGCATTCTCGCGTATGTGCGAGTCTGTGTCTCTTGGAATATGTGTGTTTTTGTTTCCGCGTTAGCGCGAGTATCTCTAAGGTGCACGCGCGCGTCCATCTCGGTCAATCAACCCCCGGCACACCTGGGCTGCCTGTCCCGTGATCTCCTGCCAGCAGCGAGCCGTCGGCACTTCACGTGGCCTCACACCGCGGCGAGCGGCGACGTCGCCGCCACTTATCGGCGACTAGCGGCCGCCCGTTGTCGACCCCGCGGCCTGAGTTTTGTTTGCCGTCGGTAGTCTGGAGGAGAGCGGCACTCTTGAGAGAGCCGACGTGACGACTGTGGTAGTTGCTCCACAACCTTGGTTGATCGACGATACCCGTGCACGCACCGCTGCTTCGTGCATGCACACACGTTCAGACGCTCGTGTAAACCACAATCGCATCGTGACGACGACGACGACGACTTCCTCTTCATAGAGCTCCCTCCTTATGTACGCCAGGGCCACCTCCGTGCACTTTACACCTCGCGTCTCATCTCAACCCCATTGGAAAGGGAACCCGCCCAGCAGCGGCTGTCCCCTGTACGGCACAAGGCGGGGGGGGTGGGGGGGGCTGCCCACGATCGCTGTGTGTGTGTGTGTGCGTAATCCCAATCGTGGTTTTTCGAATTTGGCAAATTTGCAATCGTCGTGTGAGACGGGCGAGGACGATGCACCAAGGCGGACGAACACGTGTGCGACAAAGGTTTTTACAGTCACGAGACCCCCGTGCCGGTCGTCCTCGCAACAGCGGCGGCGGCGGCTTGTGGCTGGGCCACCGAACAAAGACGGTGGCCAACGCGTCGCGCGGCGCTGTCACACGCGCTTCTGCGGCCGTCTGGAATGCTCCTCCTTCTGATATTCGGAAGTGCCTGGAGCTAGTGCACTTGTAAATCATGTAGATTGACGAACTAAATTTCTTTACGACTCCTTTGTGCGTTTAATTCATTGTTCCTCCCCCCCCCCCCCGCCCACCAAAACCTCCGATGAGCACGGTTGGCTACATACGGCGTGAAAGGAGTTTCAACGTACAGGACCAAGTTGACCCCGGCTCGGATTTGAACTCGCACGCTTCCAACGATCCACGCGACGTGACACTCAACTATGACCCCCCCACCCCCCACTCGGCTCATCTGCTCTCCATCGCATTAGCCGGGAATGAGCGCGCCGTCCCAATGGTATTACGCAGATGAATACAGCCGCCAAGACTCGCTGGTGGAGCAGAGGGAGCAGGGGTGGTGGGTGGCTGGGGGTCAGGGTTCAGTGTCAGCAGGCAGAGGAGGCGGATTAAAACCGATTTGAACGCCGCCAGCCACGAACGGTGCCTGTCGCCTCCCCTGTCACTCTTCTGTCGCTACTGCTACCGTGGTTTCCGATCCGGTGAGCGTCGCTCGTTCGGGCTCTGGCTGCCTCCTCTCAAACCGCCATCACATTGCAGGTCGCCGACTCGCCTTCTCACTCAACAACAACAACAACAACCGCCATTCGCCACTAAGTGGCGGTGACGTCACCACGACGCTCGCTCACACACACACACTCATATACTCACCCACACACTCGCACACACCTAACCCCCCACCCACCCACACACGCACCCAACCAGCTGCGTGGCGGACAACCGTGTAAACGAGGACGCGACTGGCAGCTCAGTTTCCGAGGCCATCCGTCGATGCTGGGCGCGGATGACCGAAGCCACGGCCAGCCCGATAAACCGGCATTGGAGTCGTTGTCGTCGTCGTCATTCACGACAGAGCACCGTCGTCACAGCGACGCGATTGATCGCGTTTTGCAAAACAACACGCGACTGAATTTCCAACCGGCGCGGTTAGCCGTGACGACGTCATTGACTCCCCCGTCTCCAGTGGGAATGGGATGATGAACCCGAGCTAATTGGCTGCAACCTGGCCAAATTGATGGGTTGGATGGTGACGGGGGTGCCTTTGTTATACACGCACAGTTCACGCACGGTTCACACACGCAGGCTGCTGGGGGGGCGGCTCCCACATTTGTAGGAGTTCAACTAATAAGCAAGGACTCGAACTGCACTTGATCCATATTGCTTAGGTTCCTCACCCTCCTCAGGCACCGTTAGAAGTTAGGTCAAGTCGCTCGTTCACCGGCACCTTCGTCCTTGCGACATCATCATCAGCAGCAGCAGCGTCATCAGCAGTGTCATCATCAGCAGCAGTGTCATCAGCAGCAGCAGCAGCATCATCATCAGCAGCAGCGTCAGCAGCAGCAACGTCATCATCCGTGGGAATATGTTTTTGAAGCCAAGGTTTGGACAATCGTGAGAAAGAAGATGTCCCGACAAATAAATCGGTTCTCAGCCGCTGGATCGGCGGCAGCGGCAATGTCTGATGTGTAGAAACATGGCCTGCAATGTCTGATGTGTAGAAACATGGCCTGCAATGTTTGATGTGTAGAAACATGGCCTGCAGTGTCTGATGTGTAGAAACATGGCCTGCAGTGTCTGATGTGTAGAAACATGGCCTGCAATGTCTGATGTGTAGAAACATGGCCTGCAGTGTCTGATGTGTAGAAACATGGCCTGCAGTGTCTGATGTGTAGAAACATGGCCTGCAGTGTCTGATGTGTAGAAACATGGCCTGCAATGTCTGATGTGTAGAAACATGGCCTGCAGTGTCTGATGTGTAGAAACATGGCCTGCAGTGTCTGATGTGTAGAAACATGGCCTGCAGTGTCTGATGTGTAGAAACATGGCCTGCAATGTCTGATGTGTAGAAACATGGCCTGCAATGCTAACAACCCCGATCCTGGAGTGGAACCCAGCTCCCGCGAACCGCGAGGTTGGCGCGCGTTCAAAGCGTCCGTGCCGTCGAGCGATCGCGCGTGACGGGAGAACCGATCCCGAAGCGGTGGCCGCTCGCCGTGACAATGACGACGATGATGCCGGCGCGCTATAATCCACACCACTCGTACATTCCCCGGAGCGCTAATCGCGATTACGGAGCCAACACAAATCCGTGCCGCGTTCGCGCGCGGTGGCTTCCGAGGGCTCCTCCCCCTCCCCTCCTCCCGCCGCTGCGGCGGATATTAAAACATTTAAATGCGGCGGAGAATCCGCGTGGAATTCGCGATGAATAGAAATTTGTGTAATTTCACAAAAAATGTGTTAATAGTCAAGAACTTTTGTGTTAGGGTTTTTTTTGTTTTCTGCGTGTGCGTGCAATGTGGATTAAGTCGGATCAGCCTTAACATTGCTGCAGGAGCGGTGGCTCGGTTGCTTTTGGCGGGTCTCCCCTAGGTGGACTCGGCCTCAAATGATTAACTGATGCGATGTCTGCACAACAATGTGTAAACATCGCCACCGTGGCGACAAAGGCGGCCGGGCGTGGTGCTGGCCACCCACTCCCCTCGTGTGCCGTGCCGGCCTTCGTAGGTGCTGCTCTGTTAACAGCGCTGTTAAGGTTACACGGGTGGGTTCTTCGTTTTTTTTTTGGTCTTGCAGTGGGAGAGGCTGTGGTTCCTGCTCGTCTTCCTGACCTGCGCTCTCTCCGCCATCTGGTTCTACTTCTGGTGTCAAGCCAGCAACGACTACAACGACTTTGAATGGTGAGCCTCTCGCTTAAACCTTGACTTAAAGCTTTCGTGACTGCACGAAATCATATTCTCTTTGGGGTCTTTCGGTAGTCACGTAGACAAGTTAAAATAAAATAACGAAAAAAAAAACTACGACGTTTCGATCACAACACAAGCGTTCGTCATCAGGAAGAAGAAAGAAGAAAAAAAAAGCCTCTCGCTTGCGCGACGCCGGGGTAGGGTCGACGCGACTTCTCGCCGCCACGATCGTTCGCACCGTGCAAAGGTCCGTGGCTTGGGCCGCCACCCCTAGAGCAGCGGTCAGCACGGTGGACTTGAAACCCAGAGGTCGCCGGTTCCACCCGACCGCTCCCGGGGCTAGGAGATGTTAACTGCCTCGCCTGGTACGCAGGAGGACGTGGGTTCGATCTTGACCCCTTGACGCCTGCTGTGTATTTGAAGTTTGCGTGTCTCTCTCATCACCATCATGGTGGCGAGATGTTAACTACGTGATGGCGTGGATTTTGTTTTTAACCGCGTCCTCCGATTTTTTCCCTCCACATTGGGAATCTGGCGTGCGTTTAAGGCTACTTGGCTGCTATGAATGTCCACACGATAAGCCACTTCGTTGAGCTATCATTTGTGGCCAGGTCGCTTCTGAAAAAAAAGAGCTTTGTAGCTCGCCTCAGCGGTTTAAGCGGGTATATGCCACAGTTCGTCTGTGATCGGTAGGTCGGGTGTGGGTGGGGTAAATTGGGGGTACACCCCCCCCCCAAACCTGCTAACGCTGGAACGCACGTACCCCCTCGAGCTCGCTCAGGTCGCGAGGCCTCTGCCGCCAGGGGCGTCGCTTGCGAGCAGCTGCCAGGGCATCGCCTTGGCATCGCCGTGGCAGCTCGTAAGCCGAGTCGGCGTTTTATATTTGTTGACGTACGCGTGGCGCCACAAAGGTGCCACTCAAAAGCGCCATCATCACATTGCAAGTCGAGTGCAGACGTAAGGTGAGAAAATTCGAAACAATGAGAAAAACAACAAACAGGCCAGTTGTAACGCGTGAACTTTCGCGACCAATTCTGGCTGTCGCCTGATGAGGCTGATTGTTGCGATTGCCGGCGAAACGTAACGGTACTCCAACACAACCGTTGTGCCGAACTAGTAACTAATTGTTTACGTGGCAAAGCCTACGAATTGGCTGTGTCACGTGGTGGTGGGTTTAACGTCACGTTTATATTTACGCGCTCTAACAACAACAACAACAAAAAACCTCTTATGGAAGGGAATAAAAAAGGGCCTATGGTAATCGTATCGTCCGTTTTCGCAAATGGTCGTTTTGTCGTGCTTGCTGTACCTCTATAACTGCAATTCAATTTTGTAAATAAGTAAATAGCTATTGCCCGTTAAGTAATAGCTATTTACCCGTTAAGTGCTTTGCAAAATGTCATCCGGAGCTATTGCTGGCACGGTGGTTTTTTTATGACCTCGCCATTTCCTAAATACCACCGTACTCATTCAATGATCCATTATTGCATGACTGACGCCGCATGCCCGGTAAACATTGTAGCTTTGGCAGCGATTGAAGTCGCAGGCTTCTAAATGGACTCCACTGGCTTCCAGTTCTATAAAGCATAAACTATTTTTATTTAACCAGGTAAGGCCCACTGAACTATATACAGTAAAATCTTGGATTGCGAGAATAATTCGTTCCGGAAACGTGTTTGTTATCCAAAGCACTCGTATATTAAAGCACGCGTATATCAGTTGTGATCACGTGATGCTCGGCAGACAAAGCGCATACGTACTACTCGTATTGCAAGACCCTCGCTCGTTTATCTAATTAATATTTATTTCACATTTTTGCTGGTTTTGCCAATCACTCGCAGACCAAGTTACTCGCAATCCAAGGTTTTACTGCAGCTCTTTCTCAGAAGCGACATGCCTATCGCAAATGATATCTCAACAAAAAGTGGCTCATCACGTGGAAATGTATAGCAGCCAAATACTCTAAATGCACGTTGATTCTAAATGTGGAGGGAAAAACCAGAGGACCCGAGGGAAAAATCCACGCGTCCACGGGGGGAACGTGCAAACTCCAAATATACAGGCAACAGAGTCGGGATCGATCCCGCGACCACCCGTATACGTCGCTAGGAATTTGGGAATTTTGCCGCTGGGATTGGCCGCCCCGACCACACCTTAATGCGCCGTACCGGCCTTGATTTAGCAGCACGCGAAGATGTGCATCGCGTGTTCAAAAAGCTCCCCAGCCTTGTCCAGACCGCGAGCTCAAGATAACTGAATGCACTGTCTCTTGCGATTCGGTTTCCCTTTGGTCGCCGACAGAGTTTTTAGTACGTATCTATATTTAACTTTTGTTTGCACCGTGCGTAGCCAACCGTCCTACAACAAACTAAGCACAAAAAAGCTGTTCTAAAGAAATGAGTTTGTCAATCTAGATTGTTTCCAAGTGCGCAGCTCCAGTGGTTTCCTAATATCGGAAGGAAAGAGCGTTCCAGACGGGCACGCGCGATGCGGTGACCGTCTGTTGTTCGATGGCCAGCCAAACGGACCCCGCTGCGAGGATGACCGACCGGATTTCGCGTGATGATGGTTTACGCTTCTTCGGCGAGCAGACATTGACGTGCACGCACAGACGCACGCGCATCGACACTTCGCACAAAGCTGGGGGCAATGGAGCGCGCGCGCTGCTGCTGCTGTCGTTCCGCCCAGGTTTATCTACTCGAAGCTCGGCTACTGGTACAGCTGGTCTGTGCCGATGTTCGTCATCGCCATCGCGCTCCTCACTTACCTCGTCATGCTGCTGGTGAGCCCTCCCCCCCACCCCCCGCGTCCACGGCCTCGTTGCAGCGCGACGCGCGACGCGCGCAACGACGCCGGTGTCCGTTTGGTCGTGCGGTGCTGAAACCAAAGTTGGGACTGAGGTTCGTGGGGGGAAGAGTGAACGCGGGAAGCCTCCAACGGTGACGGTGGGCAGCACGTGCGCGGCTGGGGCTCGCGATCCAGAGCTCGCCGGTTTCGACTCCATCCGCCGGCACGGCGATTGGAGCGGGGGGACGGATCCACGCGCGTCACTGCGGACCCGTCGCCACGGAGCTTCCCTGTCCCCTTCGTCGCTGCGTCGCTCTTGAAGTTCATCGCCTTGGAGCCGGGGGTCCGCCTTGACGGAGCGCTCCCTGGGTTCGCGCCGACGACAAACAACGTCCCGGGCGACACGGCGTCTCCTTCCGTACATTTTGAGCACGGAGAATATCGAGCTTCAGTTTCATGATTTCGTTTGCCACTGCTCGGCGGTCTTTACGTGTGGGATGTTCGTCAGGCCCGTGCCTGGACGGGTCTTCGCAAATTAGTGTTCGTTGCTGCAGCCGTGAAGGCTGAATGAGAGGTTTGGCGATTGTCACGTGTGCGTGCGCGCGTTCCTACGTGCGGAGCGGCAGCGTGCAAGCGGTCAGCTACGCTGCGCTACGAACCTGGCGACCCGAGTTCGATTCCCGCTCGCAGCCAACACCAGTCGAGATTTTGTGAACCAGTCCCGGGCCTCCTCTAGGTCTACTCGGCCACAAGTGAGTACCTGGTGCCGTGTGTAAAAACATCGCCACTGGGGAGACAAAGGCGGCCGGGCGTGGTGCTGGCCACCCCCACCCGCTTCGTGCGCCGTGCCGGCCTTCGTAGGCGCTCGCCAGCGGCACTTGCCCCCACAGTCTGTGAAGGCTACACAAGGGGGATCTTCGCTGTCGTCTGCGCGAGGGAGTCGTAGTGCAGGGGTTTGCCGCGCGTCGCAACAAACCCCACAGTTGGATTCCTGCTCATGGCCTACATCGGCGACGGCGATTGCCTGAACCAGTCCTGGGCCTCTGCGGAGTGTAGACATCGGCACTGGTGAGACAAAGGCGGCCGGGTGTGGTTCTGGCCACGTCCCCAGCCCCCTCCGTGCGTCAACGTGGCCTCGACTGAGTTGCTCGCTGGCAGAACGACCGGCATCGCCACGCACGGCGCCGGCTTTGTGTATGGCCGCGTGCGTGTCCCTTTGTGTCACTCGCGTTTTTATGGGAGCAGCGTTCGATGTCTGCAGGTGTTCGTCGTGAAACCCACTTGACGTTGATGTCTTTTATTCATTTTTATGATCGTGGTGTGGGGGGAGGGGGGGGTGTGAATTTTTTGTTTTCCTTTGAAAGAATACGAATAGATTTTACCCTTTCTGGGAATGAAACAGGAGGCGTGTTAAGATGTTCAAACACCGAATGGGTACCTTTTGCAAGGGATCAAGTCTGCATTATCCACACGCGGTGCTTGTGGTGAGCATGCAAACACAAACACGCTCCGATAATTCATGCATCGTCTTGCGTAGGCCAATCAGTTTCAAAGACGATGCACATACCATCAGAGCCATGTTTGTTTGCAAGACTGTGTGTGGTTAATGCGAACTCGTTTGAACATCTTAACACAACTCCTGTTTTTTTTTTGCCAGGAAGGGTGAACCGGATATTCTTATTTTTTTTTCAGACATCCCGCTGGTCCGACCGCACGAGAACCCACGGAATGAATCGTGCTCGTTTGTGGCTTCTGGGAAATTAAAAAAACCCGCAAACGCCCCACCCCCCCCCCCCCAATCGCGTTGTTAGATCATTGACTTGTTGACTTGTTGACTTGTTCATCAGCGGCGCAGGCCCACGCGCCTCCTGCGTTGCGTTAATGAACGCAGTCAATTTGCCGGAGCGTGTTATCAGACTGCTCGTCGTATTGATTCCAGACTAATGACTGATTGAGGGCCGTGTGTGTGTAGGCGTTAATGAGGCGCTGGCTTTTAGAGTCTTTGTCTTGTAGGGCAGCGGTAGTGGAGAGGTTTGGCGCGCTGCGCTACGAACCCGGCAACCCGAGTTCGATTCACGGTCACGGCCAACACCGGTGACGATTATCTGAACCGGTCCTGGGCCCTAGGTCAACTTGGCCACAAACGATTGCCCGGTGCGGTGTGTAAACGTCGCCACGGTGGAGGCAAAGGCGGCTGAGCGTGGTTGCTAGCCACCCACCCCCTCGTGTGCCATTCCGGCCCTTCATAGGTGCTCGTTAACAGCACTTGCCCCTACAGTCTGAAGGCTACACGGTGGGGGGGGGGGGGCGGTCTTTGTTCGCATGTGTGTGTTTTGTTTGGGATGCTATACATGGCACAGTAGGGGGGGGGGGGACAGCTGCTGCATCTGCCGGTCATCTCAGTCGGTCATCCCATGGCACCACCTGGTTCTGTCCCGTGACCTCCTGGCGGCGAGCCTCCGACACATCACGTGGTAGCCTCGGCTGTCGGTGTCGGTCCGGCCACGCTGGCGGAGCCCGGCCTGTGTTTGCGTGCCCCCACGTGCTTCACGTGCGTGCACGGCGGTGTCCACGTGTGCTCACCTGCCTGCGTTCGTCTCTGTGCATGTGTCCCGTATGCCCGCGCGAACACACCGGGGCAGGCGGTGCCCCGGCGTCGCCGCTCGTTCCGGTGCCACCCGCGAGCCCCCAGCGTGTTGTTTCGCCGCGGCATCGTTGCGCGAGCGTAATCTTCCGTTCCCTCTCTCTGCCCGCCGCCCGACAGGTGCTGGCGCTGTGCCACGTCTCCGTGGGCCTGCAGATGTACATGCACTGGACGCACAAGGTGAATGGGCGGCCGCGCCGGTCCGGTCGCTCGCAGTATCTAACTTCCCCCCCACCCCCGCCCTGCACCGCCCGCCCGCCCGCCCGCCCGGGCATTTGCTAGGCGCGAAAACGTAAATTAGATTTTTATTGCTTACTTTTCATTTATTTTCTTCCCCCAAGTTCGATGCACGTTCAGATGTTAGTTGTCGCGTCACGTGATGAAGAACCCCTTCGGATCTCCCGCGTCGCGTTTAGGGAAGGGCCCCAAGAAAGCGGATGTCACAGAGCTTCTTCTGAGGTCCCTTGAAGTGGGCTTCTGGTCTACGTGCTGCGTGGGGGGTAGCAGCACTTAAAAAAAAAATACCATCTCTATTCCCCACCATAACCCCCAACCGCGGGCGCCACGGTTACGAGATGTTAACTCCCTCGCCTGGTACGCAGGAGGTCGTGGATTCGATCCCGACCCCGACGCCTGTATTGTTGGAGTTTGCGTGTCTCTCTCCCTCCCCCGTGGTGGCGTGGATTTTTCTCTGGGTCCCCTCCCGTTTTTCACACCACATTTAGAATCAACATCGCGCGTTGAGAGTTTGGCTGCTGCTGTAAATTTTCCACGCGTTGGAGTTTGCGTGTCTCCCTCCCTCCCCGTGGTGCTGTACATTTTCCACCCGATAAGCCACTTCGTTGAGCTGTCATTTGTGGCCAGGTCGCTTCTGAAATAGAGCTACTCAGCTCGGTGGTCCATGCCGGGTAAAATAGCAGAAGTGTTTAGTTTTCGTGGGGTCGGCTCTTAGAGCCACGGGGACCTCTAGCGGTCACTCGGCAGAAGTTCCACATCGGTTTCCTGCCGTCACCCAAACGTGCGGACGACGCTCAAGCGTGCCTGCGAACTCCGGCAATCCCGGTCGTCGCGTCTTTCTCTGGAGGGGTCAACGGTAAAGGCGCAGCCCCCGCAAGCGCTCGCACGTGCCACTCACCTGCCCCCCCTCCCCCCTCCCCCGCGATAGCCGCCCCCTTGCTTTAGAGGGCAATTTGGCGGACTCGTAAACGCTGGCCGGGCTTCCCGTAGGACGAGTCACCCACCACGCCTCACCCCAGCGTGCGCGCGGCACGCATACACCAGTCACTCTGGTGAACCCGTGGTCGCTGCTGTTGCTGCTGCTACTGCTGCTGTTGTTTTTTTAAACCGATCGTCAAACTCCGTTGCTTATGCCAGGCGGCGAGCGACGTTCACCGGCGAGTTGGCGGTCACCGTCCCCCCCCCCCCCCCCCCACCGTTCTCCCACCTGCAGGTCGGCGTGTGCACGTCGCTCGTCTTCCTCGTCGCGCTGATCGTCGCCGCGTACGAGCTGTGGCGCGACGAGTGGAGCACCTTCGTCTACTCGTTCCAGGTAACGACCCCCCGCCCCCAACGCCCCCAACGCCCCCAACGCCCCCAATGCCCCCAACGCCCCCAACGCCCCCAACGCCCCCAATGCCCCCAACGCCCCCAACGCCCCCAACGCCCCCAATGCCCCCAACGCCCCCAACGCCCCCAATGCCCCAGCCGCGTCGTCACGACGCGCGGCGGCCTCGTTCGGTCGCGAGCTGACGACTGGTGAGTGGTGAGGCGAGTTGACGACTGGCGAGGCGAGTTGGTGAATGGTGAGGGTCAGCTGAGTCCACGACTGGTGAGAGTGGCATTAGTCAGGTGGGTCGATTGGCGGCTTGTCATTGGACGAATGTCTGACGTGGGTGGAGGTGAGGGTCGGGCGGGGATCGCATCACGCCGACCGGCACTCGTCTTCGGCGTCGGGCGGAATGGGCGCGTGTGGAGGAGTGCTGACGTTCCGGGCAACGGGCCTTGTCTGTTTGTGCGCGTGCCCGGCGCAGTCGACGGCGCCGTTCCTGCATATCGGCGCGGTGGTGGGACTCACCCTCGTGGCGTGGCTCGTCGCGGGGCAGTTCGCCCGCACCGACCGACTCGGTGAGGAGCCCGTGCACGCGCCACCAGCGCCCCCTCTGCGCGTGCGAGCGAGCATCGCGCGTGCGAGCGAGCATCGCGCGAGCATCGCGCGTGCGAGCGAGCATCGCGCGAGCGAGCATCGCGCGTGCGAGCGAGCATCGCGCGTGCGAGCGAGCATCGCGCGTGCGAGCGAGCATCGCGCGTGCGAGCGAGCATCGCGCGTGCATCGCGCGAGCATCGCGCGTGCATCGCGCGAGCATCGCGCGTGCATCGCGCGAGCGAGCATTGCGCGAGCATCGCGCGTGCGAGCGAGCATCGCGCGTGCGAGCGAGCATCGCGCGTGCGAGCGAGCATCGCGCGTGCATCGCGCGAGCATCGCGCGAGCATCGCGCGAGCATCGCGCGAGCATCGCGCGAGCATCGCGCGAGCGAGCATCGCGCGAGCGAGCATCGCGCGTGCGAGCGAGCATCGCGCGTGCGAGCGAGCATCGCGCGTGCGAGCGAGCATCGCGCGTAGCGAGCGAGCATCGCGCGTGCGAGCGAGCATCGCGCGTGCGAGCGAGCATCGCGCGTGCGAGCGAGCATCGCGCGTGCGAGCGAGCATCGCGCGTGCGAGCGAGCATCGCGCGTGCGAGCGAGCATCGCGCGTGCGAGCGAGCATCGCGCGTGCGAGCGAGCATCGCGCGTGCGAGCGAGCATCGCGCGTGCGAGCGAGCATCGCGCGTGCGAGCGAGCATCGCGCGTGCGAGCGAGCATCGCGCGTGCGAGCGAGCATCGCGCGTGCGAGCGAGCATCGCGCGTGCGAGCGAGCATCGCGCGTGCGAGCGAGCATCGCGCGTGCGCGCGAGCATCGCGCGTGCGAGCGAGCATCGCGCGAGCGAGCATCGCGCGAGCATCGCGCGAGCATCGCGCGAGCGAGCATCGCGCGAGCATCGCGCGAGCGAGCATCGCGCGCGCGAGCGAGCATCGCGCGCGCGAGCGAGCATCGCGCGCGCGAGCGAGCATCGCGCCGCGCGATGCTCGCTCGCGCGCGCGATGCTCGCTCGCGCGCGCGATGCTCGCTCGCGCGCGCGCGAGCGAGCATCGCGCGTGCGAGCGAGCATCGCGCGTGCGAGCGAGCATCGCGCGTGCGAGCGAGCATCGCGCGTGCGAGCGAGCATCGCGCGTGCGAGCGAGCATCGCGCGTGCGAGCGAGCATCGCGCGTGCGAGCGAGCATCGCGCGTGCGAGCGAGCATCGCGCGTGCGAGCGAGCATCGCGCGTGCGAGCGAGCATCGCGCGTGCGAGCGAGCATCGCGCGTGCGAGCGAGCATCGCGCGTGCCGGCGCTCTCTCACGCGTGGTCGTGCGTGCGCAGCCCTGCAGGTGTCGATCGTGCTCGTGTACCTGGCCGCGCTGCTCACGCTCTACCTGCTGCCCCTGCTCGTGCGCTCGCCCTGCATCGTGGAGGAGAGGGATCTCCCGGCGCGACCGAAACTCTTCGGACACCGCGGGGCGCCCATGGTAACCGCGAGCTCCGTAGCGGCCGGCAACCGTCATGGCCGCGTGCAGTGGCGCCGTGGTTGTTGCGCACGAACCCCCCCCCCAAGTTCGATTCCTGCTTGCCGCCAAAGTCGGCGACGAATATTTGAACCGGTTGTGAGCGTCCCCTAGGTCGCCTCGGCCTTAAATGAGTACCCAGTGCGGTGTCTGAACGAGATGACGGTTGCCCGGCGTGGCGCCGGCACCCCCCCCCCCCCACCCGCTCGTGTGCCGCGCCGGCGTTTTATGCCCAACGTGTTCGTGTTTTTATGCTTGGGCGCGTGTGCCGGTATGCGTGTTCGTGAGCACGTGCGCGTGTTGCGCGAGTTGCCGCTTGGTGGGGAGTGGTGGCGCAGCGGTTAGCGCTACGCTGCGCGACGAACCCAACGACCAGAGTTCGATTCCCGCTCTCGGCCAACAACGGGCGACTTTTATTTGAACCGGTGCTGGGCCTCCCCTAAGTCGACTCAGCCTCAAATGAGTACCTGGTGCGGTGTGTAAACATCGCCACTCGGGAGACGAATGCGGGCGGGCGTGGTGTTAGCCACCAACCCCCTCGTGTGCCCGTGCCGGCCTTCATAGGTGCTCGCTTAACAGCACTTGCCCCAACAGTCTGTTAAAGGCTACACGGGGGATATTTGTCTTTGTTGTTGCAGCTTGCCCCAGAGAACACGATCATGTCATTCGAGCGAGCGACAGAATGCACCGAGGGACTGGAGACAGACGTGATGCTCAGGTGGGTTAGCACCGCCGCTGTTGCTGCTGCTGCTGACACTGACACTGAGGAATGGAATAGATGATTGTTTGCTTGTGTTGCTACGATGGTTGGCGGCTGATGATGACGATGACGACAATGAACGTGACAACGATGGTCTTGTCATCAATTGTGGTGAAGACCACGGTGACAACTGTGACGGTGACAGCAGTGATGACGGTGACGACGACGACGATGATGACAATGACGTTAACGACAACGATTACCACGTTGATGACGAACGATGTTTGACGACAATAAGCGTGACGACAACGATGACGATTACGATGACGATTACGACGACGACGACTCTCTGCCCCTCGTGCCAACGACTGCACCTCCCCCTCCCTCCCTCCCTCCCTCCCTCCCCCACCCCGTCCCGCTCCCCCATCCCACACAGCCTGGACGGCGTTCCGTTCCTGATGCACGACGCCGACCTGCGGCGCACGACGGACGCGCTGCACGTGTTCGGGGAGCCGCGCGCCTCCGCGCACCCCTCCCGCTTCAACATGTCGGAGCTGCGCTCGCTCAACGCGGGCTCCTGGTTCCTGCGCAGCGACCCCTTCGGCACCGCGGCGTCGCTGTCGCCCCAAGACCGCGCCCTCGCCAGCAACCAGAGTGTCGGCGAGCTGTCCGAGGTCTCCGTTGGGTTTTAACCGGCGCATCTGTCGAATTCTCGGCCAGGCGCGAAACCTGAACTTTTGTTTCTACCCCTGTCCGCCGTGGAGCGACGCGGCAAAACGCGGAGCGATGAGCTGCGGCCGAGCGCGGCCTTCCACCTGCTGGCTCGGAGCTGCCGACGGAGAGGCTCGCTCCGCCCGCCGCCCCGCGCCGGTCTGGGCGGCCAGGAGCTTGACCCGTCTGCGCTGTTGCCGCGGCCGCTCGGCACGTGCGTGTTCACGTGCGTGTTCACGTGCGTGTTCACGTGCGTGTTCACGTGCGTGTTCACGTGCGTGTTCACGTGCGTGATCACGTGCGTGTTCACGTGCGTGTCCGTGTGTGTGTGCGCTCTTGCGTGTGTCAGGTGCTGCACATTGCAGCGCAGCGCAACAAGTCGGTGATCTTTGACCTGCGCCGGCCGCCCTGGGACCACCCGTACGCGGACACGTGGCTCGAAACGACGGTGCAGGCCGTGCTGGGGTCGCGCATCCCCCACCGCCTGGTACCGACACTCCCGCCCCTCCCAGGCATTCGCCCGCCCGCTCACCCGCTCGCTCGCCCGCTCGCTCACCCGCTCGCTCGCCCGCTCGCTCACCCGCTCGTTCGCCCGCTCGCTCACCCGCTCGCTCACCCGCTCGCTCACCCGCTCGTTCGCCTGCTCGCTCACCCGCTCGCTCGCCCGCTCGCTCACCCGCCCGCTCGCCCGATCGCTCGCCCGCTCGCTCGCCCGCTCGCTCACCCGCTCATCCACTTGTTTACTTGCTCACCTACTCACTCGCTCATTCAATGACCTCCCTACTCAATCACCAAATCACTCGACTTACGCGCTCGCTTGCTCACTTCCCTCACTCGCTCGCCAACCTTCATCGCTTCATCTCCGCGGTCGTCTTCCTCCTGCATCATTTCTCCTTTGGCTGCCAATCCATCGGCAGTCTTATCCATTGACCATCGTCCACCCGGTACAAGGCCACGTATGTTTATTCGCAGTCCGCGTCGTGTCTCTGAACCTGCGGTTGTTTCCCCGGTTCTTCGCGCGTCACTCCCCCACCACGGCGCACCTCTCCGCGCTTCTTGGCGCACTTTCCAGCGTCCCCTTCCATTCACCTTTGTCATTGTTCCACGGTTATGCTCCATAAGTCACGGCAGTTTCCGATTGGTAATAATTATAACACTTACGCGCCCTGTGAAAATGTCGACAGCTCCTAAACTAAACAAAAAACTTGCGTATAAAACTAAACGATTGTTGTCTTGCCAGGTCAGGCCCACTGACCTCTTTCAGAAGCGACCTGGCCACAAATGATAAATCGACGAAGCGGCTTATCACGTGGACATTCATAGCAGCCAAATACTCAGAGCGCGCGTTGACTCGAAATTTAGAGGGAAAACCCAGACGACCGGGAGAAAAATTCATGCGACCACGGGGAGAACACGCAAACTCCAAACGTACAGCAGGCGTCCGGGTCGGGATCGAACCCACGACCTCCTCCTGCGTACCAGGCGAGGTAGTTAACATCTCTCCCCCCCCAGTGGTGCCACGTGACTCTCCGACTCGACATCTGTGAATGAGATCTTTGCAGCCCATCGGATTCCTCCAGTAGAGATAATATATTCTGTCAGGGTCACCGGTTGACCCCCCTCGGCCCTCACCGGTAACCTCGGAAGGGGGCGGCAGGGGGAGAGAAACGAGACGGCCGTCGAAAGCGTGTCGTCCGCCCCTCGCTCGCCCTCCGCCCCGTCACCCCGGCCCCCTCGCAGATGATGTGGCTTCCGGACGAGAAACGGGACCTGGTGGCCTTCGACCTGGCGCCCGGGTTCCGCCAGACGACGGGCGTCAAGAAGGAGCTGAGCTACCTCCACGCCCACCGCATCGTGACCCTCAACCTCCACTACAGTGGCATCAGCCAGCCCGAAATAAGGTGGGGGGGGGGGGGGTGGGGGGTGTGAGGATGGGAGGGTCCGTCGCCGTCTCTGCTCCGTGTTCGGGGGGGGGGGGGGGCGGGGGGGCACGGCCTCCCCCGGCCCCGGCACGGAAGAGGCTGGCGGGTGCTCGGCCAGCAGGAGGAAGTGTCTCAGTCTCCACGCGACGTTTGGGGCGACGTTCGGGCGACGTTGGGGCGACGTTCGGGGCGACGTTGGCGCGACGTTTGGGGCGACGTTGGGGCGACTGTCACAGCCGCAGTTTCCGTTTCGGGTTAATTTTCTGGGACCTTTTTGCCAGGATCAAAGTATACAAAAAATAATATTTTATAGTTACCTTTTGATTCCGTGCAAGAGGTATCTAGTTGGTGTTTGAACATCTTAACACCTATTTTATTACCAGGAAGGGTAAAAAAAAACATTAACTTTTTACATAGCGGCTCATTTTGCTCAACCAACCAGGCGAGGAGAGCGAGAGAGAGCGAGAGAGCGCGAGAGAGAGAGAGCGAGAGAGAGACGAGAGAGAGAGCGAGAGAGAGAGCGAGAGAGAGAGAGCGAGAGTGAGAGAGCGAGAGAGAGAGCGAGAGAGAGAGAGCGAGAGTGAGAGAGAGCGAGAGTGAGAGAGCGAGAGAGAGAGCGAGAGAGAGCGAGAGAGAGAGCGAGAGAGAGCGAGCGAGAGCGAGAGAGAGCGACCAGGATAGTGGAGCCTCACAATCCACAATGAGCGACGTCCGTCCGCTGTTGTTAATCGGATCGCCGTGTGCCGTTTGCGCAACGCAGCAACTACTCGGAGCACAACGTGACGACGAACCTGTACGTGGTGAACTCTGCGTGGATCTACTCGATGGCGTGGTGCGCGGGCGCCCACTCCGTCACCACCAATGACTGCGGCTCGCTGGCACGCCTGCCCCAGCCCGTGTGGCGCTTGGTAAACGCTCTCTTTCGCTCGCTCGCTCGCTGTGTCTCTCCCTCTCTCTCTCTCTCTCGCTCTCTTGCTCTCTCTCTCTCTCTCTTTGATCCCTCTCTCGCTCTGTCTCGCTCCTCTCTCTGTCTCTCACTCTCTTGATCTCTCTCTCTTGCTCTGTCTCTGTCTCGCTCTCTCGATCTCTCATCATCTCTCTCGCTCTCTCTCCCGCTCTCGTTCACGCTCCCTCTCCCCTGTTAACGATGTGCATGACCAGGATGTCGTGGCCGGGGTGGCTCGGAGGTTCAGGGATGCTGGGAGATGCAATTTTCATGAACTTCACCACTATATATATATAAAAAACGAAAGGTTTGTATTTATGCCCCCCCCCCCCCCGCCCGCCGCCCTGTGTCTGTCCCAGAATCCTGGAGACTACAGGCTCATGTGGATCACGACCGACGTCATCTCAGCCACGCTGGTCATAGCCATATTCATCGTGCAGAGGTTGGTGTCTCGCGCGTGCCACCGTGCAGATAGCGTGTGGGTGCATTGTAGCCGGGGAAAGGAAGAAATAAAAATTGGCGTCAGATAATCGCAACCGCCACCGGGCAATTAGGGGCCGCGCCGATGATCAACGTCGCCAATGGGGATGAATGCTACCGCCTCCCCACTCCCCTCCCACCCGCTGATTCGTGGTTGTTGTCACCGTCGTCCGTCAAGCGAGCGATGACCCCCCGATTCCATGGCGTGCTCCGTCCAAAATATCGAAATTTTTCTCTCTCGGATCGACCGACCTTTTCATTGGGCGTGCGCGTGTGACGCTCCTCGATGAATATCGCTCCTCGCGGGAGAGCACGAAGCACGCTGCGTCAAACGGCACGCGCGAGGATTTATTCCCGTGCCGCAAATGATTTCCTGACGGTTTAAGCGCTCCGTAGGCTGATGGAACGAACGAGGCGGACTGAACGAGACGGACTGAACGAGACGTACAGCACAAAACGAGAGATGCACGCTGCCGGAAAGAGCCAAGAAAATAATCATTTACATTTCTAAAGAGCGTTGGCCCCCCTCCCCCCGCGACCGGTGGCAATTCCTCACCCGCCCTGCCGACGGGGCAGCAGGGCGGGGGGGGAGTCGCCGGAGCCGGGGGGGCGGGGGGGGGGGTGAGCAGAGGTCGTTCATTCACCACGACGGCACCTCGCTCGCCCCCGCCCAGGCACCAGCGCGGGCACGGGGAGCTGCCGAGTTCATCCACGCCGTTAGCGAGCGCCTGTCAAGGGTGCGGAGTGGAGGGGGGGGTGGCGGCCTGTGATCGTTGCCACGTGGCGCCAGACCTTGCTTGCACGTCCACTGTTGCGTTCATTTCGAATGCCTTTTCCTTTCGTCATTTGTTTGTAACATCTTTCATTCTCGCTGTCTCTTCCCGCCTTTGTCTCTCTCTCTCTCTGTCTCCGTCTCTTTCTCTACCTCTCTCTGTCTCTCTTTACCTCCCCCCCCCCCCCCCTCCCACCAAACTCTCGTGTCGACTTTCCGCTTGCCGCTCTTGAAAGCTATCATTTGATAAGGTAAACCGGCGAAGACTCCGCGCGTCGCGCATCCGCACGCCCGGCTCCGTTGTCGTCATCGTCGTTGGTTTTGCTTCGTTTGTGTCATGCGTATGAAGTCGACTCGGCGTTACCCGCGCGCGGTTTATCCGATTTGCGGGTTAGCCGCGCGCTCGAGATTTTTGAACGCGAACTAATAACCCGTGGAATTTTTTTTCCCCCGCCTTAAGCCCAAACTAATAATCTAAAAACGGCTGTGCATTCTTTTTCTTCTGAAATGTTCGCTGCAAGCCCCCGTGCTTAATCCAAACAACGAAAATGTTCTCCGGTTAATCCGAAAGCCGCACGCGATCGCCTCCACGGCTACGGTGGCAGGAGTTTGCGTATCGTCGCAGCAAGTTGGTGGCGTTCGATCGATGTTGACTGGCGCGCGTCTCTGCCGTCATCCACCGAGTGGGGGGGGGGGGGGGGGCCGAGTCTTCTGCGCGGGGGCTGCAAAGTATTATCGCCGAGCACGCCCTTCGGTCGGTCGGTCGTCGGCATTCGTTGCAGATCGACAGAGCAACAATCGAAAGCGCCAGTTGTGCTTTAGTGATCTAGCCGATCGTTTACTTTGCGAGTTGTAAATTGACGGAACACTTTTTGGAATTATCCGCGATTCGGAATGATCCCGCGGCCTTCCTGCACCGTCGTCAGCGCGGATAATCGAGAGTCTAGCTGTATTTATTTATATATGTATGTTTATATATGTGAACATATATAAACAATCAAGTTGTGGAACGTGCGCTACTGGGAGCCAGGGAGTACTGCTGCACGGCTTCTCACCGGCGCCGCTGTACAAAGAGCGGCAGTTGTTTTTTTTTTAGCTGTACGTAAAAAAAATGTTATCGGAAAGAGTTGAGTAGTGTTTTATCTTGAAGCCTGCCGTGTGGTTTGTGTTTTGAATTGCCCTGTGGACACGGCTGACATCCGGCGCCGATGTCGCGGTCGCAGATTCTCAGCACGCTTCAGAACATGGCACTACTGTGTGTGTGTGTGTGCTATTTTTTACGTGGCTTTCATATGAACGTTGTTAATGAATGATACGTTTTTTGTCATATCTGATAACGCATGCAGCATGCAACAGTCTTAATGGAAATATGTTCAGTTGCAATATGTTCAGTTTTTATTTGCGTGTTCACTGGAAGACTGATTTTTATTTCTGCTTGCAAGAGTTACAATAACTTATTTTTAATGAACACGATTATTTTTGAAGCAGTAAAGGCGCAGCGCCCGCAAATTACTCGCTCACCCCACTGCTGATGCAAGGGGGCCTCCGGGGGGGCGGGGGGGGGGGGACCTTTATAGAGAGCCCCTCTACAGGGGCATTTGGCCTACTCTTCCACACTGGCAATATGTCTTCGATGAGGTGGGAGGTTACTCATCTTTTACTCCACCAGACGTGACCTGCCGATCGACTTAACCCGATTGGTTAGTGGACCCATGTGCAGTGTAGTACAACTGCGAGGGGGGGGTTGGCAGAGGCGATGGGATTTGAGAAACCCCCCGTGTTGTTCCTACTGCCACGGCAGGAGATTTAGTTGTGACAGTGACCTCTTGGTTGTTCCGTTGACCATGACACCACTCTGTCAGCACTCCCCCACCACCGCCCCCCCCCAACCCCCCTATTATTTGAGGGCTATTTCAATAATGAAACATTGGGGATTTTTATTGTACCGAATTAATCACAATTATAACATAATAAACATCGGTCAATCTGCAGCTGAGCGAAGGCCACGCCATGCCGTTTAGGATATGTGTGTGGGGGGGGGGGGTTGTTTGTCCATACTTCACCGCACTGGTCAGTGCGAAGTTGTGAAGGGAGGCACCTATGGGCCCCGTTTCAGACCGCCGCTCGCCACCAACGTTACCCGTGGCCGTGAATCGAACTCGGGCCCGCCAGCGTTGGTAGGGCAGTGCGCTAACTGCTGCTCCACCGCTCCAGCCCAACAGTACAGGGTTACGTTCGCCCTGCGCGGCGGTATTAGTGGTAGGAGTATGTGCTCCAAGCGAAAGTGTTAACGCAAAGCGAAACCGCACGGTACGCAAACTATTTTTTTATTTCACCAAGCAAGGCCCCGCTGAGCTATGCAACTCTTTTTCAGAAGCGACCTGGCCATCACAAATGACACCTCAACGAAGTTGGGCTCATCGCGCGGAAATTTAGAGCAGCCAAAACACGCTCTCCCACGTCCGACCGAATAGCCGCATGCAGAGCGACTTGAAGCCGCATAATACAGCGAATTTTGGGGAGAAATAGGTCATGGGGCCGCATGTGCGGAATCGCACAAACCGAACTCGCAAAAAAGCGATGGGAAACCTGCACACGACATCGTCGCGTGCCAGGCGAGGATTTGGAAATCTGCCTGCTTTGGATTGGCCAATAGGGGGCGATATCCTGCCTCGCGCGAGCAAAAAAAAACGCCAACCGATCGGAACTCCAAATCGCCCGCGCGCCAACTTCATTCGGCTCCTCGATGTTGCCGCATGGCCGCAGCCCATGGTGGCTCAGCGGTTAGAGCGAACGGCTCGCAATCGGAAGGTTTGCGAGTTCAAATCCTGGCTGCGGCTTGCCAAATAGTGATACGTGACGTTTATACCGCGCCGTTCTGCAAGCTGCGGTACACACGCGGTGCCTTTCTGGCAACAAATCTGCCACTCAAAGCGCCATCCATCATCACATTAATACTCAACGTAAAAATAGACAAGTCTGTACAATGAGAAATATATAACCTGCATAGCAGGAAATTAATAACGCGTGCCATGTCCCACTGTGGGAAAGTTAATAGTGGTTGTCTTATTGCAAGAGTTTTCTCCTGCCGTGGGAATGTGGAATTTCCACCACTGGCTCTGACTTTTTGACTCCTATGGAAACTAAACATTTTCAGTGGGGCGCGGGGGGGGGTAGGGCGGAGGCCGATCCACGTTTTGATTACTGACACTGACACTCAAATATTAGCGAGGAAATGAAAGCGAAATTTCGTTTCAAGGCCTCTCGCGTCTCCCAACAATCTTAGCACGCGCGTTCGATCGTCAACGCTCTCCCGTGTAAAATGCGGAGCCATCGCCCTCGCAGTATTCACTCGGCTGTTGAGAGCAAAGTTATTATTGGCGCGCCACGGTGGCGAGGAGATGTTAACCACCTCACCTGGTATACAGGAGGTCGTGGGTTCGATCCTGGCTCAAACGCCTGCTGTATATTTGGAGTTTGTATGTCTCTCTCCCCGTGATCGCGTGGATTTTTCTCCGGGTCCTCTGATTTTTTTTTCCTCCACATTTAGAAACATTATTTTAGATTCTCGGCTGCTACGAATTTCCACCCGATAAGCCACTTCGTTGAGCTATAATTTGTGGCCAGGTCGCTGAAGAATAACTGTATAGCTGAGTGGGCCTTACCTGGTAAAATAAAAAAAAAACTGTTCAGTTGAGTTTTTTTATTAAAGGGTCATTAGAAATCCGTGGAGTATCTATAACTGGGTCGCCCCGTAGATGTGGGTTGTCCACGTTGCTCCAGGTCCATCCCCATCGATTTTCAACAAAACCTCCATCGCACGATCGCTCGATTTTCTAAGCGAAGCCCCGGAAGCCACCCGGGCGCGCACCACCACCTTGTGAACCGCGCGGTGCCCCCCAGCTTGACCTCTGCTATCCTCGCCCCCCTCCCCCCGCAGGTGGAGGTTGGGCTCCATGACGGTGTACAACCCCGAGCAGATCATGCTGAGCACGTCGGTGCGCAAGAACAGCCGCGACGTCAAGACCATGAAGGAGAAGCTCATCTTCACCGGTAAGTTGGGTCGCTGGCGGTTTGCGGGCGGCGCGGTGCGAACTCGACGCTGCCGAGGCCGCGTCACGCCCTCCCGCGGCCGATGGACGTCGGCCCCCGACGGGGACGGATCGTCTTCCTTCGTTCGCTCGGTTTCGTTCGGCGGACTAAGAGGATTTCCCCGCGACGTCGTCTGTCCGGCGAGGTCAGCGGTAACAAGGGGGACAGAAATGGCTCGATTAACATCCCCAGAAAGTTTGCCGGGCACTGGGCATCGCACGTTTTTTTGTTTTTTTTTCCCGCGCGCCACTGTTGAAGAAACGACTTTTGCCGCCAGACGCGAACCTTTTTCGGCCGCGTTGGTGGCCCGCGCGAAAAACGTTTCGAAGGGTTTGACAAAGTGTGGGGCGTGTGGGTCGAGAGAGAGCTTGGGAACCACCAGGCTCAGACGATCGTCTGGAAGTTGAATCTTACTCTCAGGAGCGGACAGGCTAAGCCAGAGATGGACACGGGGGGGTGGGCGGGATGCCAAGCGCAGCGACGACCTCTCGGTGTCGTCGCTCAATCGAGGTTGCTTTGGAGGCCCTCCGCCGCTATCGATGGGGGGAGGGAAGATGGGAAGCGGCGATGGTCTGTGGCCGAGTGTTGGACGATGGGGAGTGCGTGGTGTGGCGCTTGTGCGCGCGTGTGTGAGTGTGTGTTTTTAGGAAAGGGCGGTCCTGCACAGATGCCATATTTTCTATCCGTCTGCTACAGCAGAGGTGTAGGGAATTCCAACAAGACCTACATCTCTGCTTTATTGACCTGGTCAAGGCCTATGATACCATCAATAGGCCTGGGCTCTGGGTTGATCTTCGTGCTTTTGGAGTACCTGACCCTCTGCTCACGATCATTAAGGACCTTCATGATGGTGAGCGGGCCCGGGTAAAACTACGTGGCTGGGAGTCAGAGCCATTCCCTGTACACCTTGGGGTGCGACAGGGATGTCCTCTGGCTCCCACATTATTTAACATCTACTTTGACCACGTAGTTCGTGAAGCCTTCAATAGCTGTACCGGGGGAATCTCCATATGGTACAGATATAATGGGAGGCTGATCGATGCCCGGGTGCGGTCAAGGGATGGCTCCCTATTGCTCAACCACATTATGTATGCCGATGATTTGGTAATAGCTGCTCATTCAGAGGAGGAGTTGGAGACGCTGCTGCTGAGACTGGAGCGTGCCACTAAGAGGTGGGGCCTTACCATCAGCCCCACCAAAACTAAGCACCTGCCTGGGTATTTTGTACCATCTGACACTCCACCCCCACAACTCCCAATCGGTGATGGGGCAGTTGTGGAGCGAGTGGAGAGTTTCCCATACCTGGGCAGTGTGCTTATGACCGGCTCCAGTTTAACAGCAGAGGTCTCACTCCGAATCAGTCGAGCGGCAATATCTTTTCATCGGTTGCGTAACGCTGTGTGGAAGCTACCTGGTCTGTCGCTCCGCACTAAGCTTCAGGTCTTCTCGGCCACGGTCATTCCATCCCTTCTCTACGCTTGCGAAACGTGGACCCCCCTAATGGAACATCTTCGCCGGTTAGAAACATTTAGGCTGGCCTGCCTACGATCCATCCTGGGTTCAACCAGACTGGATTGTGTGAGGAGCTCACAAATCCTTGAAAGATCTGGGCAAGGTCCCATTCGTGAGCTCCTCCGGCGGGAAAGGCTGCGATGGCTGGGTCATGTAACCCGCATGCCCAGCCACCGCATGCCGAAACAGCTTTTGTTCGGCCGGATTGAGGGGGCTAAACGGGCTAGAGAAGAGATGGAGTGATGTGGTACAGGAGGACGTGGAGCTGAGTGGACTTGCCGATGACTGGTACCAGCGGTGTCAAGATCGGCCTCTGTGGAGGAGGCTCGTGAAGTACGCTACTGGGCAGTTGGAGGTAGTCGCCCTCCAACAACAACGGAGGGCGGAGGAGCGACGCTCACAACAACGAGCGGAGCGCCGGGTGGCTGAAGCACAACAGGTTGGCACAGTAGGGGGCACAGGTGGTGCATCAGCCAGTCATCTCAGTCAGTCGACCCGTGGCACCTGGGTCTGCCCCATGACCTCCTGTCAGCAGCCGTTCGACACTTCACGTGGCCTCAGGGTGCACATAGCCTGGCACAAGCATCGTGGTGACGTTACCGCCACTTAGTGGTGAATGGCGGTTGTTGTTGTTGTTGTTGGACGGCCATACGGACGGATGGAATGCGCGCAGGAAGCGTTAGTGTAGCGCTTCGAACCTGGCATCACGAGTCTGATTCCCGCTCACGGCCAACACCCCCTGTGGCGATTATCTGAACCGGTACTGGGCCTCCCGTAGGTCGGCCGGGCGTGGTGTTGGCCACCCACTCCCTCGTGTGCCGTGCCGACCTTCATAGGTGCTCGCTAACAGCACTTGCCCCAACAGTCTGTTAAGGCTACACGGGGGGATCTTTGGTCTTTGTCTTTGTCTGTAGACGGACGGACGGACGGACGGATGGAATGCGCGCAGGGTCAAACTAATCGATGGGCAGATGATAAATTGGGGTCATGGACAAATGGACGGACAGACAGACAAATGACGGAGTAGGCAGGTGCGGGATGCTCATGGACGTGGCTGGATAGATTGGGACTAGCAGCGCAGTAGGCAAGTGGTGAGCGGATAGAGAGATAAACGGATGATGGAGTGGTCGTGCAGATGGATGTGCCCGGGCACAGACGGAGACAGATGCACAGCGGAGAACGTTGGACGAACGTGCGGCCCTGATCAACGGCAGAGTGAGCGGCGAGATTGATGGAAGGGAACACGGATGGACACGAACGCAGATGGGTGGACAGGCATGCGGACCGGTGGACAGACTCTGATGGACTGCAATACGTACACACTTACAGACAGATGGATGGGCACACAACCGTACAGGTGGTGGACAGACACACAAAGACAAAGATCGCCCCGTGTAGCTTTAACAGACTGTTGCGGCAAGTGCTGTTAGCGAGCACCTATGAAGGCCGGCACGGCACACGTGGGGGTTGTGTGGCCAGCACCACGCCCGGCCGCCTTTGTCTCCCCGAGACGTTTACGCACCGCACCGGCTACTCATTCGAAAGACCAACGATGCGCGGACACGCGGACGCACACGCGCGCGCACACACGGCTGAGCCGCGCGTTTTAACCGCCGCACGTCACCCCCGTGCCCCCCCCGGCTGTTTCCTCCAGAAGTTGAGAACGGGGTCATGAAATCGGACGCGTGCTCCCTGTCATCGGACAGCCCCACCGAGGAGGCGTCCAGCCAGCCCTGCAGCCCGCCCCCTGCGGAGCGCGCGGACAGCACTCCGACGTGCGTGGAGTAACGCGGCACCGCGCGGTGGCGGCGGCGCCATCGCCACTAAAGGAGCGCGTGGGTTGAGCGGTGACGTGGAGCGGGTTGGCGCGCTGCGGTTCGAATTCCCACTCTCGCGGTCAACATCGGCGGCTGATTATCTGAACCGGTCCCGGGGCCTCCGCTACGTCGACTCGGGACTCGAATGAGTTCCTGGTGCGGTGTGTAAACATCGCCACTGCGGGAGACAAAGGCGGCCGGGCGTGGTGTTAGTCGCCCACCTCCCCTCGTGTGCCGTGCCGGCCTTCGTAGGGTGCTCGCTAACAGCACTTGCCCCAACAGTCTGTTAAGGCTGCACGGGGCGATCTTTGTCTTTGGTGGCACCGCCAGTAGCAGTGGTCAGGCAGGCCCCAGTGGTGCTTTGTGTGAACCAGGCGAGAGCCCTTTCACCCGGTTTGCATGAAATAAGTATATTGTAAAGGTAAAGGCGCAGCCCTGCAATTGCTTGCTCACGCCACTGCTGCCGGAAGAGTTTCCACTAGAGCCCCTCTAGAAGGTTTTTTTTTTTCTGGTCTACTCTTCCATGCGGGCCAGACACCTTGGAACGGGTTGGAGTGGCCACACTTTACCCCACCACACGCGCGTCCGGCCCATCGATTGGCTGCGGTGAACCCAATTCTAATGCTGGGTAGACAGAGGCGACGGAGGGGATCCAAGAAAGTTGCCCCGCTGATTCAAACTGCCGTGCTGTTGGAAATGATATCAAATCGGGGACGTTCATCGGCCATTCGTTTAGGAGAGTCCTGCACTGGGATGTTTGGCGGTTTCCCGATTGCTTTTAGTTTCGCGCGGGAGGACACCGGGGTTGCCCCCTGGTGGAGATTAAACAAAAAATCTACTCGTGCAAGGCACAAACATTCAAAGACCTGCTGTTTCGGAGACAGCCTTCGCCAGCTCCTACTTTGCAGTACTTCCATCCGCTGGCCCGCCTCGCGACTCCCGAGTTAAGCAGACGCCCGCCGCTTCCAGCGGTGTGGATTCGAGCTTCCGCCCCCCTAAGATATTTGCGCTCGCCGGCTCGATCTGGGGGGTGGGGGGGGGGTCCGTCCGCTCGTGCGGCTCCAGCAGCAACAGCTGGCGACGACGGCAGGCACGAGCACCGGCGTCGTCGCGACGCTGGGCGGTCCACGCAACAATACGGAGTCCGCACAGAGTCGGCGAGTCTTGTCGGGGCGCCTGCAGGGTGCCGCGCGCGTGAGAGGGGCGAGAGAGAGAGTGAGAGAGAGAGCGAGTGAGAGAGTGAGCGCGAGAGAGCGAGCGAGAGAGAGAGCGAGAGAGAGAGAGCGAGAGAGAGAGAGCGAGAGAGAGAGAGCGAGCGAGCGAGAGAGAGAGCGAGAGAGAGAGCGAGAGAGAGAGCGAGAGAGAGAGCGAGAGAGAGAGCGAGAGATAGAGCGAGAGAGAGAGCGAGAGAGAGCGAGCGAGCGAGAGAGAGCGAGAGAGAGAGAGCGAGAGAGAGCGAGAGAGAGCGAGCGAGCGAGAGAGAGAGAGAGCGATAGAGCGAGCGAGAGAGAGAGCGAGAGAGAGAGAGCGATAGAGCGAGCGGGAAAGAGAGCGATAGAGCGAGCGAGAAAGAGAGCGAGAGAGCGAGCGAGAGAGAGAGGCGCTCGTCATCCGCGTTGTTGCATTCGTCCCGAGCCCGTCGGCGCCCAGTCGGGGTGAGCGTCTCCCACGTGTTTGTAAATGTAAGAAGGGCTGACGGTAGAAATGTGTCCACTCTTCCAGGGGAGTTAAGGTCGAGCCGAACCGCCTCGCCGCTCACGCGAGCGACGGGGCGGCAGTGGTGGCTGCGGCTGCGCCGGCGGCCGTCGTCTCCGCCGGCAGTGCTGGAAACTCCACATTCCTATGACGGGAGCCGGCCTCTCCACAAGTCCGGCCACTGTTGAATTCCTGCAAAAAGTGGTGATGGTGGCGGTGTTGGGTGGTGGTGGTGCTCGGTTTAGCTGCGCCCCCCCCCAATGAGTTGTGAATCCCCCTCTACCCCTCCTTACCCCCGCCACCCCCCAGATGGGGATTTGAAATGCGTGACCGTCCAATTGGAATTCCATGGCTCGAAGCCACTCCGCCCCCCCCCCCCCCCCCCCGGATGGGTAACGGGGACGTGGGGTGAATCTGCGCGAGGGTGTTTCACGTGTCTGGACGCGTGGAGGTTGGTGTTGGTGCAGGATCCGAGAAAACCAGCAAACGCCAATCTGAAAGACCCAAGAGGCGTGCAAACAAAAAAATAAATATATATAGAAACGGCGTGACGCGCGCAACTGCGAGACCTTGCGAAGCGATTTGAAGTGCGCGTGGCGTCAAATCGATCCATTAGCCCGAAATATATTTAAAATGATAAGTTTACGGCGGCGATTTAAACGTTTACGTGCTGATATCGAGCGCGGTGAAGAGCGAGGCGAGAGGGGGAACGAACCCCCCTCCCCATGGCCCCGCTGTGAGCGTGAATAACTCACGGAGCGGCACGTGCTCAAATTAAGTTACGGTTGGAGTGTTTTGCGGAGGATGTGGCACGCGTTGGCCGTAAGTCGCCTGCGTCGTGAGCTTGAGCTGAAACAATCGCACGGCGCGTTTGCCGAGCAAACAAACTAATACTTCCGTGAAATAAGATTCTGATTGTGAGAGCGTCGAGGGGTGGAGGGGGGGTGAGTAAGCATCGGTAAAATCCTCCTCGAGAGAGCGGACGTCTGTAATGCGTGGTGAAATATATCGTGTAGCTTCGACACTAACTGGTAAGGAAAGAAAGTTACAACGTAGCATTGTGTGTGTAAATTATATATATAAAAAAAGGGGTAGAGAAAATGTAACAAAAAAAAACGTAAGTTAAAAGGGTAAGAAGTGAGAGGCTTGTTTAAATAATTTAAAGTTTTAGGGTAGCCGCGGAAACACTTGATAACCCACGGTTTGTTTTAAAATCGCTCACCGGAGAGACCCTTGATTGAAACACGTGTGACAATCATCTCTCGGGGGGGTGGGGGGGGGCGCTAAATTGGGTACCGCTTCGATGGACGGAACGGGTGCTGCTGCAGTGCGTCGTTTGTCAAGAGGAAGCCAACGCTGCAATGGACGCTGCGACCCTATCGGTTATCGCGCTTCTTTTCCAGAATGTTCCCTTCTTAATTTAACAAAAAAAGAAAATCTTGCATCGTTTTGTACATATCACCCCCGCCGCCGCCCCCGCTCTTCAGCCCCGCAAAAGTCGGCGTGCACTTCCTAAATCAAAAATTAAACCCCACGAGGAATCAAAATGACACGTTACCGATGGCGTAGTGGCATTGACGACGATCGTGCGTCGCAGCGCGGGTGGCTTTTGACAGCGATCGCCTCTTCTCCCCGCCGTGTTGTGCGAGCGCGCAAGGATGATTGGAGCGAAAAGCGAATGAGAGTTTGGGGGGGGGGGGGGGGGTTTGTTTTTTAATTATAAACCGAAATATGCAACAGCGACGGGGAGCGCTGCACGTGTCGCCGTGCACGAAGATATTCCCGTCGAGTATATTATTTAAGCGCAGCTTTCGTTTAATTTATTTACGCAGTCGGTCGCCCGCGCGCGTGCGTGCGACCGACTGCGTTTGCGGAGTGAGTGCGTCGGCGAGATCACTTGATCGGGTCACAAACATCACTCGACGCGGTCCCAACGCCCTCCCGCTCTGCTCCTCCGCTTTGTGTTTTTTTTTTACTTTCGAGTGCGGTCAAGGGAGTGGGGCGAGATGGTGTTTTGATATCTCGTGATTTTTACGCATTCCACCCACCCCCCCCCCCCACCGCTCCCCGAGGCATTTTCGTGTGTAATACTTTTTCGCTCCAGGTAAGTCGTTTGTCTACACTGTCAAAATAAATTGAATAAACGATGAATGAGATATGTGACACGCGCGTGTGCCTCCCCTAGGTCGACTCGGCCTCAAAATGAGTACCTGGTGCGGTGTGTAGTAAACATCGCCACTGGGGAGACAAAGGCGGCCGGGCGTGGTGCTGGCCGCCCGCCTTCGTGTGCCGTGCCCGCCTTCATTGGTGCTCGCTAACAGCACTTGCCCCTACAGTCTGTTCCAGGCTACACGGGGGATCTTTGTCTTGTGTGCACACGGTGGAGCGGTGGCGAAGTGTTTGTCGAACTGCGCGATGAACCCGGCGGCCCAAGTTCGATGCCCGCTCAAGACCAATAAGCGTCGACAAATTGAACCGGTCCTGGGCCTCCCTTAAGTCGACGCAGCCTTCAATGAGTACCTGGTGCGGTGTGAAAAAAAAAAATCAACACTGGGAAGACAAAGGCGGCCGGGCGCAGTGCTGGCCACAACCACCACCTCGTGCGCCGTGTCGGCCTTAATAGGTGCTCGCAAACAGTTCGTATGGCTATATGGGGGCATCTTTGTCTGAGAGCAGTACATGTCAATGTGTGTGTATGTGTGTGTGCGATTTCAGGAAAGGGCGGTCCTGCACAGATGCCATATTTTCTGTCTGTCTGCTACAGTAGAGGTGTAGGGAATTCCAGCAAGACTTTATTGACCTGGTCAAGGCCTATGATACCATCAGTAGGCCTGGGCTCTGGGTTGTTCTTCGTGCTTTTGGAGTCCCTGACCCTCTGCTCACGATCATTAAGGACCTTCATAATGGTGAGTGGGCCCTGGTAAAACTACGTGGCCAGGAGTCAGAGCCATTCCCTGTACACCTTGGGGTGCGACAGGGATGTCCTCTGGCTCCCACATTATTTAACATCTATTTTGACCACATAGTTCGTGAAGCCTTCAATAGCTGTACCGGGGGAATCTACATTTGGTACAGATATAATGGGAGGCTGATCGATGCCCGGGTGCGGTCAAGGGATGGCTCCCTATTGCTCAACCTCGTTATGTATACCGATGATTTGGTAATAGCTGCTCATTCAGAGGAGGAGTTGGAGATGCTGCTGCTGAGACTGGAGCGTGCCACTAAGAGATGGGGCCTTACCATCAGCCCCACCAAAACTAAGCACCTGCCTGGTTATATTGTACCATAGGACACTCCACCCCCACAACTCCCAATCGGTGATGGGGCAGTTGTGGAGTGGAGAGTTTCCCATACCTGGGCAGTGTGCTTATGACCGGCTCCAGTTTAACAGCAGAGGTCTCACTTCGAATCAATCGAGCGGCAATATATTTTCATCGGTTGCGTAATGCTGTGTGCAAGCTACCTGGTCTGTCGCTCCGCACTAAGCTTCAGGTCTTCTCTGCCACGGTCATTCCCTCCCTTCTCTACGCTTGCGAAACGTGGACCCTCCTAATGGAACATCTTCGCCGGTTAGAAACATTTCGGCTAGACTGCCTACGATCCATCCTGGGTTTAACCAGGCTGGATTGTGTGAGCTGCTCACAAATCCTTGAAAGATCTGGGCAAGGTCCCATCGGTGAGCTCCTCCAGCAGGCCAGGCTGCGTTGGCTGGGTCATGTAGCCCGCATCCCCAGCCACCGCATGCCGAAACAGCTTATGTTCGGCCTGGTCGAGGGGGCTAAACGGGCGCGGCACGGGCTAGAGAAGAGATGGAGTGATGTGGTACAGGAGGACGTGGAGCTGAGTGGACTTGCCGATGACTGGTATCAGCGGTGTCAAGATCGGCCTCTGTGGAGGAGGCTCGTGAAGGATGCTACTGGGCAGTTGGAGGCAGTCGCCCTCCAACAACAACGGAGGGTTGAGGAGTGACGCTCACAACAACGAGCGGAGCACCGGGTGGCTAAAGCACAGCAGGTTGGCACAGTAGGGGGCACAGGTACTGCATGAGCCAGTCATCTGTCATCTCAGTCAGTCGACCCGTGGCACCTGGGTCTGCCCCGTGACCTGCCAGCGGGCGTTCGACGCTTCACGTGGCCTCAAGGTGCACATGGCCTGGCACAAGCGTCGTGGTGACGTCACCGCCACTTAGTGGCGAATGGCGGTTGTTGTGTGTGTATATATACCCACACACTTGCGATCCGTTGAGCAATGAACTGCGTGGATTCCCGTGACTCCCCATGCACACGGCATTCCCCAGGGCGCACGGAGCTTTTGTTCGGGCGGGACCTCGGCTGGGCCCTTGCCACAAGTGGCCCAGGCGTGGCTTCTGAACACCGTTGGAGTGCAGAATCGGGGCATCCTTTGTCATCTTCAGCCATGCGTGCGGGGGTATGGTCCTGAAGTTCTAAGCTTCATAAATATGGCCCAAATTTTTTTCTCTGAATACGGTGTCGATAAAACACCAATTGTCTTGCAACGCAAATCCGCCCAGCGCCTGGGTCGTGGCTCCATCTCCACGATAGCCGCCCTCTGGCACGTTCTCTCCTCTGGCTGCCACGGTGGTTGAGTCACGATCACCGGCAGCACACGACGCTAGAGCGTCCTCTGGTGTGGGCAAACCAAAATACCTGAGGGTGGGAGTGGCGGGGTGATGTTACGAGTTGACACCCAGCCGGGATTTCAACTCCCATCCTTCAACTTGCAAGTCAAGATGTCAGGAGGTCATCACTTCCACTGATGCCAACACATCGCCATTGCTCCCTTCTGGCGTTAGGTTCACCCCCCCCCCATCCTTCAAGGGACGTTCTTTTAGAATCTCGCCATCACCGACCTCAACCACCTCGGAGGCTTTCGGTCCTTTCACCGTCGGTCGCCAAACCTCTGCTGGGTGCCGCTCCCAGCGACCGTCTCGGCAAGCCGCCCTCCTCCGCCAACCACCTGGGGACGCGTCCCGCTCGTCGCCGCAATCAGCCCAACAACCGCCGCTTGACCACAAACGATGGCCCAGAACGTTCACTTTGCAAATATTTGTTTTCCCTCTCTCCCCCTTTATTTACAACAAAGAACCGTGCTGGGGGTAATACGGGGCAAGGTTGGTGATCAGGCGGGGTATGGGGTCACGGTTTGGGTGTGGGGGGGGGCAGGCGAGCGAGCGAGGTGAAAAGGGTCGTTCATCCTTCTCGGTGGGATTTGCACAGCCTACGCGTGAACAACAACTAACAAAAATATGGGACGCCCCGTTGCACGCCCGTCACCGTGGATGGCAAACCGCTTCGCAAGAGAGGCGGCCGGGCGAGAGCAAAAAAATAAAACGCCGGATGAACGTCGCGAACGATCCCAGCCTTTTTTGGTGTCATCTTCCGCAGGGAAGCGGCAAGCGTAACATTTTCTGCGTGGTCATTTTTTTTGTTGATGTTAAGTCGCATAGAAAAAAAATACGTTTCATTTGAATTCAAACGCGTCGAGGCGCAAGCGTAAAAGGATGGCCACTTGAGGACGAATATTTACAATACTTTTGTTTAATTACATCACGCTTAATGTGGAAGGCAAGCAAAATATAAATTAATACGGGGGGGGGGGGGGTAGCAAAGAAGTTTCACATTACATTTGTAAAAAAAATTATAACAGCTCAATTTGCTGGCCAAATGAGGAAATATGTTGATTAAAATTTTTGTTCTCATATGGCATCACTTCCAGAAATGGGTTTGTACAATGTGTCGACAAACAAGCAGGGATTCTACATTTACCCAGCAGGCAAGCCGCCACACCTCGTGGCGCGAGTCTCGCCCGTTCCAAGAGAGATCCGTGCGGGCAGGCCTCTTTCCTCGAGCGTCACACGTTGGGAGGTTGAAAAACATTGCCCGGAGGAAACCCACACACACAGCGGGGAGAACGACAGGAGAACACTCAAAAATATCCACCCGCCTAAGAAAGCCTCTGCGATCCTCCTTGCTACGCTGCCCCGCTGTGGGTGGGTGTCTCATGCAAAACAAAAGGTTCAATCCCCCCACCGCGTGAGCCAGCGATCGCCTCCCGAGTTGCTGGATGAGAGAGGTTGCACCACAGTCGGCGCGTACTGGGCAAGGGCGACTCGTGAACAGTCCTCGCAAATGGAACTTTGGGCTTTTCGAAATCTTACACCAATTGAGGCCACCAGCCACAACAACGAACTCACAGCCGCAACTTTGCTTTCATATGATGTTTGACTGTATATCATTGTTTCACGTGTTTACCGCACATCTGTGAGGATAAAACAAAGAGCTTCATAGCTCATCGGATTCCCGCAGTTTTAAATAAAGACTGATTCTGTTGAATTATGCGATGGTGCCTTTTGTTTTGGGTGGTGCAGGTTTGTGCCGGACAGGCGACAACTTTTGACGCGTTAAGCAAAAATGACTCGACTAGGAGACACCCCGAGCGGTTCGGAGGTCTGTCATGGCTCTCGTCGGAGATGGCAGCCTGCGATGGATGCAGAGATCCTCGTTTTAGCAACCCGTGGCGGAAACGGAACTGTCAAATGTTCGGAGTTGTCGGTCTCTGCCCAGGTCGTCAATTACGGCACACGCACATACAACCGTCACCCACGCCGTAATCTGGTTTCTCAATCCGCTCGCGGCGTATTCCAGCTCAACTAACGGAATCTTTCGCTTTGAATGGAACGCAATGGGCACGGTTCTGTGACTTCTTATGGGGCCCTTCTGCGACATGGGGCGGTGCACTGTTAGATGCAATGGAAATGGCAAAATCTGTATGGTGTACAAGAGCCCAGCCGTAAACAATAACCACTCGAGAGACTGGAGTTGGCAGTGCATGTATACACGTTGAACTTCTTTCGCACCGTGCGTAGCCAACCGTGCTAATCAGAGGCGCGGAGAAAGGACAACAAACTCAACACAAAAAAAAAAGTTCCGCTGTGATGCGGAAGCACGGAGTACAAATATTTTACCAGCATTGTCATAGCACACAGTCTTCGAACAGAAGAGCACATGAATAAGGTTACATATTGACCAGGTGTCCCTTCTTCCTGGCAGAGCGAAGTCCAATTGTGACTTTCGGGAGATCAGAAACAGCCGAGCCGGCACCGCTCGCATCCTGGGTTCAATTCCAGACTTTCAGCCGCTGCCTGCGACGAAATCCAGGTTCGTCAAGTGCAGTGCATTGTTGGTTCCAGGCCCGATTCAGCCAAATGGCTACGCACATCGATCACGTAAAATTTGGTTTCATACTCTTTGGTTCTATTCAGACCGCGACCTTTAAGCTGGTCGCGGTCTGAGCTTGGCTGTGTTCACTCCAGCGCTGTCCTCTAGACAGTCTGCTCCCTTCACCTGATGAAGGCCACTTGTGTTGTGGCCGAAACGTCGTGAATTTTTTTGTTTGTTTTTTACCTACGTGACTTTACCGAATAGAACCAAAGAGTATGGATCCTTGCAGTCACGAAAGCTTCAAATCTAGAATAAAAATTTGGTTTCCGTAAATTGTTCCACCGTAAAATGTGACGGGCATTACTCTCTGCAGCAGGGCAGACGGGGCAAAGTGGTGCTCCAGAATACTGTGGGTGCAGAGGTAGCTCTCCGATGTCAACTTCTGTGGGCCACTCTCTAAAAACATACAGGGTTGCACTGCTCTGCAAAATATCCAATATGGACGATTTTGTCCAATCGTGATGCGACATGATTAAAATGACAAAAGATAGTGCCTTACGCGGTAGTTGGAGACAACATTATACACAATGAGATCTATACGCATTTCACGTCGTTAAAAATCTGTTAAAAGAAAAACATACTTGGCCAATTCATCGTGTTTTTTATAACAATATTAGTGAATAACACTGTGTAACAGAAACACTTTTTTTTGTTCCTGGGTAGTAAGTGTTAGTTTCTAATTGCTTATGCCCTAAAAGTACAGAAAATGGATACTATTCCCAACAAACTTTGCTTTTGTGACCAGGACAGTGATATTTTGAAATGTAACTATTGTCAATGAGAACACGTGGTGTGCATTTGTGTCATTCCTTCACAAAGTCCTGGTCACAAAAGCAAAGTTTGTGTGGAATAATAGCCATTTTCTATACTTTTGAAGCATAAGCAATTAGAAAATAACACTACCCAGGGACAAAAATCGTGTTACATCGTGTTTCCTGCAACCAGCTGAAATATTTTATATTTTCGCTCATGTTTAAAAGTACTCATTCGGGTGATGAACGCTTGGTGCACAGCGGGTACATTTTGAAACGTCTTTCAGTTTTGATGGTCTCAGCCCGGTCACCAACGATTGCACAAATAAAACCACAAATAAAATCCATCGTCACGTAAAAATTTTGGTTCCGCACTTAATTTGGCGAAATTTCAGCACCCGGGGGAAATGAAAAACATCGGTGCGACTGTCACGCGACGAACTTCACTCTCGCACGCAAAGCAAGGGAATGAGAACCGCTGCCCTCCACCCTGCATGGATCAGAGGTCGCTCGAAGAGGAGGGCATCTCTCGGACGCAGCCCCGCGATATCCACTTCGCTGGCCCGCTGCGCCACTGCTTTGCGACGCAACATCGACGTCACAGTGGGGAACAAAAATTGCGGGAGAAAAAAAAAGTGTAAAGTAATCACAAAATAAATGCACGCAACGGATCTTTAAAATGAGATGCTGCCCATCGCAACGGCGCGTCCCGTGAGTGTTGTTGAGAGCAACCGGACGGACGGAGGGACGGTGCGACAGCTTTGCCTGAAGCAACGTCGGGCATACGGACAACAAAGCCCCATCACACTGCAGCCAAGCGAATAGCGACGACCTACACGTGGGTTTTGAGTGTTTGGCGATGGCCTGGGGTTCCTTCAGCCACTTATAGGATGAGCCCCATCTTAACAGGAAACCCGTGACCGGACACCATTATAATGCCTATGGCTAACTTAAGTCTTTTTTTTGAGTTCTGTCGAAACCCTCCCCGACGTGTCGACGGGTCGCGCCGCCGACGTCCGGCGTTTCGGCTCCACGTGCTTGCTTGGAAGCCTTTTCTTCGGTCGAACAACGTCGGGGGGGGGGGGGGGGGAGGGGGGGGGGGGGGGGGGGGGGGGGGGGGGGGGGGGAGAGCCGCCCACGGCACGACCGCGGAAGACGCGAGCGTGCCGGCATTTCGTTTTAAACCGCCGGCTCGACGGTCGGCCTGGGCGAGCGGCGCAGACTCCCGCTGTCGTTATCCTAGGGGATTGCCACTCGGCCTTTTTTGCCTTTGGCACCGATAATAGGGCAGCGAACCCTCGCGAGTTTCGTTTTTGCACGTTTGTTTGCACGTTTCGACGGGGATTAAGATCCCCCCTCGCTCCGCGCGACTCCCGCAGGAGTCGACGACCTTGCCGCATCACTTGGACACCAGCTTGGCGCCCATGAACTTGTGCTGCTCCTCCGCGTGCCTGAGAAAGAGAAACGCGGGGGAGAGAGACCCAGGGCGCACGCACGCGCAACAGGGTTATAAAGGCGGGAGGGCTTAGCGAAGACGGGCTCTCGTCAGACGGCACCATCAAACGAGCCGTCTCCCGTGGTGGGCGTGCTCACGGGTCTGCTCCCTTCAACTTTGGCTGCCCACCCCTTCATCCGTCTCGAACGCCTCGAACCCACCGGCAGGTCAACATCGCGGCGATGCCCTTTGGAACACCGAGGAGGCTTTCGCGACAAATATCTTCTGTTATGCAGGGTTTTTTGGGGGGTTAGATCGCGTAAATATATAAATTGTGTCGTTAAACCCGCCACCACCCGACACAGCCAATTAGTAAGGTTTGTCACGTGAACAGAACGTGCCAATTCGTTATTGGTACAGCACACAAGTGATGTCATCACATCTACCCCTCTATTTAAGGAACAAAACAGGAGGATTTCTTCACAAATCTGGCTGTCGCCTGATGCAGCTGGTTGTAATTACTGGCAAAACGTCGTACTCACATTATAAATGTTGTGGCTTGGCTCCCCAACACAGAGTGGTGCTCAATGAACCACAATACCTTGCTGATCTCGTCAAGAAACATAAACCATCACGCAAACTCCGGTCTTCCTTGCAGCAGCAGCGGCTTTTCACTAGCCATTGAACAAAGATGGCTCGTGAAAAGCCGTCTGGAACGCTCTTCCGATATTAGGAAGCCACTGGAGCTTTGCACTTTGACATCATCTAGATAGAAAACTAATTTCTTTCGGTTAGATCACGTAAGTATGTGTCGTAATCCTCCACCATCCAACACGGGCAGAAAGGTTTGTCACGTAAACAACGTGCCAATTTAGTTACTACTTCAGCCCACCGGTGTGTTGGGAGAGTAAATCCACAACATTTACAATTTGAATATCCTCCAACACACCGGTGGGCTTAAGTAGTAACTAATTGGCGCGCTGTTTACGTGACAAACCTTAACTGGCTGTGATGGATGGTGGAGGGTTACGACACATTTACACTGACGCGATCTAACCCTAAAGAAATTAGTTTTTAATTGGTCGCGAAAGCCTACGTGTTGAACTCATTTCTTGAGAACTGCTTTTTGAGCTTGGTTTGTTGTCCTTCCCCCGCACCCCTGATGAGCGCCGTTGGCTACGTACGGCGTCAAAGCCGCTGAGCATAAACACATTAAAAAAGTGTATCTATGCCGGAGGGATGATGAGCCAATTCAACCCCCAGGACCTCAACTCTCAACCTCCCAGCTGCGCAGCGCTCGCTCTATACCGCCGAGCCGCAAACACGCCAACTGCGTATGCTGCGCATTGTGCCGCGATGTGTGGGCGGAGGTGGGGGGGGGGGGGGGGTGAGCAGGGGGGGGGGGGGGGCATCCCACCGCGTCATATCCTCAATGTCCACCAGCATGGCATCCTGCTCCATGTGCAGCTCGTCCCGCACCAGCAGCAGCTGCACCAGCTCTTCGTTGAGGCCTGGCCGCGAACAGCACCAGCAACGGGGGGCCCTCAGCGGTGTCTTTATATTTACATGCGGCAAGCCCCCCGCTTAACGTGTGGCGGGGGTTCACACTGCGACGTGCTTCCGCTCCAACGCGGCGCACCGTTATAACTCGAGATGCGCACCGTTATAACGTAGTACGCGCCCCCGTTATAACACTGTTTCTAAGCGGTCGACGATCAACTACTTTCTTTAGCTGCGTGGCTAAGTAGTGTAATACAGCACGCGGCGTACCCTCAGTTATTTGTCTCGCTGTTCGTGCGTGCATAATGACTCGCCAAACTTTACCGTGGCATTATTTATGGGCAAATACTTTTCGCTCCACGCGGCACTTTTCAGGAACGCGTCCACCACCGCGTTAAACGGGGACGTACTGTGTGTGTGTATACCGAATTATAAACTTTCACGACAACAATTAGGCCACCGTGTCGGTTAGGTGGTGGGCCTTACCCTAGAGCGACGACGTGCTCTGAATAGACTTTTTTGTTGCGAAAGCCTCAACCACTGGAGTTAGTGGAACCCTACCAACACTCGAGCAATGGAGGGTGCTAAGTCCATAACGACATATTTGCCAATAATTACGTGGCCAGACGCAAAAAAAAATCGATTACGAATCGTGATAAACCCACACGCTAGGCATTTGCTTGGTCTGTCCGTCCATCTTTCCGTCCATCCGTCCGTTCGTCTTTAAGTTGGGGTAAAAATAACTCAATATGGACAATACTTTAGTATGCAGCTGCGTTGCAGTTAGGGACCCACCCGATCCAAACCTGGAAATATCGAGTAAGGGGTTATACCCAAAAAAGTCCGGGGAAAAAAAAACCACAGTGATAACGAGTAAGCCTTGTCGGCCAAGGCGATGACGTCGCATGCCAGCACCCTGCATAACAAGCTCTCCTCCCGCCCAGGCAGACTGATGATAACAGACGTTCCAGTCGCCGCATTGGTGGCATTCGTTGTGATTTCTCACTGAACAGAGTGGGCCGTCCGGGTACCGATTGAGAGGCTTCCTATCCTCTGCGAGCGGCCGTATCTGTGAGCTGCCGCGTGCCGGGCGTGAGACGGGGGGGGGGGGGGGGGGGCTCTTACTCTCGATCTGCGAGTGGAGGTCGTTGACGATGACCTGCAGCTGCCCCTCCGTCATGCCGTGCAGGTCGCCCGGACGGAGGCTCCGCTTGAGCAGAGACTCGCCCAGGTGGGGCAGGTGCGGGAGCTGTGGGGTGGGCACAGCAGAGATTTCCACCGCCTCCATTACAACACGTTGCGCCCGTAACGTACGTCATCTCACGGGTAGTAGTTTTAAGGGCAGGGAGTCACCGGCATGGTCGGCTACGTACGGTGCGAAAGAAGTGCAATATACATAGATACGCAGAGACCCATATACACCCACAGAGACCCATAGGCCCACAGAGACCCACAGAGACACCCATAGAATCAGAATATTTATTCGTACTGGAGGAATTCGATAAGAAGATAATTTTCACAGATGTCCAGTCGGGGTGCGTGGTCAGAACGTTACAACAACAGCACTGATGGCTGTGGGGGGGGGGGGGGGGGGGGGGGGGGGGGGGGGGGGGGGGGGGGGGGGGGGGGGGGGGGGGGGGGGGAGGAAGGTTATTCCCGTATTTTCGTCGTGGGCAGAGCGGAGGATGAAGGAGCGACCCTCCACCGAACGGAGGATGACCGGGGACTTTTGACGTTGGGCAAATTCCATCTCACCAGTTGCTTTGGCTGCATGCAGCGCCACCCACCCCCACCCCGCCTGGCGTGCCCCCCCCACCCCCCCCCCCCCCCCAGCCCCCCAGCGGTTGCCCTCACCAGGTCCGAGAGAGGCGGCTTGCTGCGTTTCTCCACCTGCACCTGCATGCGCGCCATCGGCTGCGCCATGGCCAGCGCCATGCGCGCCTCGTCCTGCAGGCGACGGCGCCGCGACGCAAAGTCCATCTCGTCGAGGGGCGACTCCATCGCGTCCTCGTCCCCCTCCTCCTCGGGGCTGTCGCGCTCCGAGTACGACGAGCTCTGCTTGCTCTGCGCCCGACGGCGTACCGGGAAAGGGGTGGGGGAGGGTGGGCGCCACGGCGGCGGGATGTCAACTACCTCGCCTGGGTTGCGGGAGTCCGTCGGTCCGACCCCGACCCCGACGCCTGCTGCATGTTTGGGGTTTGCGTGTCTCTCTCCCCCCGTGGTCGCGTGGGCTCTTCTCCCGGTCGTCCGGGTGTTCCCCCCACATTTAGAAACAACGTCACGCGTCCAGAGTATTTGGCGACTGTGATACATTTTCACGTGATAGGCCACTCCGTTGAGCTATCTTTTTTGTGGCCAGGTCGCTTCTGAAAAGGAGCTATGTGGCTCTTGTGGGCCTTACCTGGTTAAAAATTAAAAAAAAAATAGTTTGGTTTATAGTTTAGGGTGCACGGGGGGGGCGGGCGGGGGATGCCAGGTGAGCAATCTCGTTAAAGACGCAAGCGGATAAGCGCAATGAGTGACACCACGCTGGCCTTGCAGCACCCCACCCCTCTGGTGGAATGGTTCGGTCCGTCTGGCAGGGCAAGAGGGCCAGCGGGGGGGAGTGGTGCGCAGGGCGTACCATGGGAGACGCGGGGGTGTCCGGGCTGGTCTCGGTCTTGCTGCTCTCCTCGGCGTCGCTGCCGCTGTCGTTGACGAAGCAGATCTGCAGGTTCATGCCGCTCTGCAGCCTGCGGAGAGAAGGGGAAGACGCCCACTCAGTCCCCTGTTCACCTGTGGAGGTGGCAGACCAGTGGAGACTGCGAGTCCTCCCCCACTGTTGTCGCCAAGTAGGTGATTCTCAACGCCAAAGTCATTTGCTGCTCAAATTAGAATCTCCCGTTTGCATCTCCGAGCCAGTGAACGGATTTCAGATTCTCACAGCATGGGGCGAGTCTATCCATAGGATGAACGCTGTTGACTTCCCCACAGCGGTCCCTATTTTATTGACCCTGCAGTGATGATTGGTCGAGTCAACCAGCAACCAGGGCATGAACTCACGAATTTCACATTGCGAGCCGCTCGCTCTGCCGCTGAGCCACCTGCGCGTGAGTCTCCGGTTCAGCCAGCCCTTTATTCAACCGTTCTTTAATTACCCGACCCTTTTTTTTGATCGATCGGGTGAGCAACCAGCGAAACCTTGGCTTACCCGAAGCGGCACCCAGACCCTAACCGGAACCCTAACCGGGACCCTAACCGGGACCCTAACAGGACCCTAACTGGGACAAACCGGGACCCACCCAGACCCTAGCCGAGGATCTAACGTAGATCCACTGGGATCCACCAGGACCCTAACCAGCACCCACCGGGACCCACCAGGAACCACCTGGACCCTAACCAGGACCGACCGTGACCCACCAGGACCCTAACCGGGACCCACCGGGAGGAGAGGCTTGGTTTTCCGCTGCGGCTGCACGTGGTGTAGATGCCCGGCCCATCGTCCAGAAACCCTCCGAGCGCCAGCTTCTGCCGGATGGACTCCCGCTCGCTCCTCTGCGCCTGCGGCGAGCGAGGGCCGGGGAACGGGTGGAGCAGCAACAGAGGGCGCGCAGAGGTCACGAAAGGGCAGCAGGGGAGGGACGGGAAGGAGTGGAGGGGCGAGGGGAGGGAAGGGGAAAGGAATGGGCAAATGGGGGAAGTGGGGAGGCTTCAAGAGGGAAACGAAGGGAGGTTAAGGAACGGGGACCCGCAACATGTGCAGGGAGAGTTGATTCCAGTGATAGGCGTGCAAGGAGGCAGAAGGATCAAACAACGAGATTGGGCACAGAGAGGAGGAGAGGCAGAGCGGGACGGAAGGTTGGCACGGCACGTGAAGGGGCGGCAATAGGGACAGCACCGTGCCTGGCGGCCCGTCGTCATCCGCCCGGTGCCGATGTTCACACATTCACGCTCGAATCGACCCCTCGGGAAGGTCCTTGACGGGATCAGACGCAACGTGCGTTGCGACCGACGCGCGAGGCCGGGAACTGAGCATACGCCGCTGGGATATCGCAGCTCTGCGTGCGAGTCACCGCATCACCGATCTCCTCTGGTGAAACGCGTGCTCGCGCACACACACGTACACACACGCGCGCACACACGCGTACGTGCTCCCGCGCACACGCACACTCGCGCGAACGAACGCATGCGGACACTCAGGCCTGAGAGAAAAATTCTGGCGGTCAAACGTGAGCTTGCGTGACAATTGCCACCACCGCCATCACCATCAACATCACTGCCTACCGCTGTCACAGTCACCAGAATTATTCATATTTACGTGACAAACCTTACTAATTGGCTGTGTCGGGTGGTGGCGGGTTTAACGACACTTTTATATATTTACGCATTCTAACCCAAAAAACCTGTGTTATAGAGAATGATTTACATTCATGAAGACAAAGATCCCCCGTATTGCCTCAACAGACTGTTGGGACAAGTGCTGTTAGCGAGCACCTATGAAGGCCGGCACGGCACACGAGGGGGTGGATGGCCAGCACCAGGACCGGTTCATTCATCACCGATGTTGACCGCAAGCATGAATCAAACGCAGGTCATCGGGTTTTGTTAGCGCGGTGTGCTAACTGCGAAGCCACCGCTCCCCCGACACACACACACATACGCGTGCGCGCTCGGGCGAGCCAGCGAGTGCGGCAATTGTGTCCTGACCTTTGAGCAGAGCTTAGCCAAGGAAAAATGGGAAATCAATGTGTTGGCGCGAGTGAAAATGTCACACGAGCACGACTGGACACAGCGGGGGAGCTTCGTGCTCATCGCTGCCTCTCTCCGCCCCCCCCGCGCGCCCCCCCCCACCCAGTTTCACGCAGGAGTCCCCTTCGCGAGGATCCCGCGAAGGGGATGTCGAGTTATACGGCCAATAAGTTACCGGGGAATGTTTAGCGTTGTGTCATCGGCGATAACCGGAGAACCCACGCGGCAGTCAAGTGTCTCCCCCGGCTCAAAGCGACATTGGGCAGTGCTCCGCTCTCCATTGGCTGCCCTCTAAGCCGGTGATTAGACCTCCCACATTGCTCATGGTGTCTGCATTAACCACACATACTTGTGGTGAACGAATCTTTCTGTTTGGTGTTTTAACATCTGAACACAACTATTTTATTGCCAGAAAGGGTAAAACCAATTCTTATACTTTTAAACTGTAAAGAAAGGTAACATGTTGTAGCTGATCGCCCCGAGCTCTCAATGTCCTGATAGTGGCATTGCCTTTGTGGTGTTCGCCTAACACCGTTTGAGACGAGGCTCTAAAAAAGGCTGTCTCTGGTGTGGACCAATCAGTTCCAAAGACAATGCACATACTGTCAGAGCATGTTTTTTTTGCATTTTTACCACAAGTATACAGTGAGGGAAAAAAGTATTTGATCCCCTGCTGATTTTGTACATTTGTCCACTGACAAAGAAATGATCAGTCTATAATTTTAATGGTAGGTTTATTTGAAGAGTGAGAGACAGAATAACAACAACAAAATCCAGAAAAACGCATGTCAAAAATGTTATCAATTGATTTGCATTTTAATGAGGGAAATAAGTATTTGACCCCCTCCGCAAAACATGACTTAGTACTTGGTGGCAAACCCCTTGATGGCAATCACAGAGGTCAGACGTTTCTTGTAGTTGGCCACCAGGTTTGCACACATCTCAGGAGGGATTTTGTCCCACTCCTCTTTGCAGATCTTCACCAAGTCATTAAGGTTTCGAGGCTGACGTTTGGCAACTCGAACCTTCAGCTCCCTCCACAGATTTTCTATGGGATTAAGGTCTGGAGACTGGCTAGGCCACTCCAGGACCTTCATGTGCTTCTTCTTGAGCCACTCCTTTGTTGCCTTGGCCGTGTGTTTGGGTCATTGTCATGCTGGAATACCCATCCACGACCCATTTTCAATGCCCTGGCTGAGGGAAGGAGGTTCTCACCCAAGATTTGACGGTACATGGCCCCGTCCATCGTCCCTTTGATGCGGTGAAGTTGTCCTGTCCCCTTAACAGAAAAACACCCCCAAAGCATAATGTTTCCACCTCCATGTTTGACGGTGGGGATGGTGTTCTTGGGGTCATAGGCAGCATTCCTCCTCCTCCAAACACGGCGAGTTGAGTTGATGCCAAAGAGCTCCATTTTGGTCTCATCTGACCACAACACTTTCACCCAGTTGTCCTCTGAATCATTCAGATGTTCATTGGCAAACTTCAGACGGGCATGTATATGTGCTTTCTTGAGCAGGGGGACCTTGCGGGCACTGCAGGATTTCAGTCCTTCACGGCGTAGTGTGTTACCAATTGTTTTCTTGGTGACTATGGTCGCAGCTGCCTTGAGATCATTGACAAGATCCTCCCGTGTAGTTCTGGGCTGATTCCTCACCGTTCTCATGATCATTGCAACTCCACGAGGTGAGATCTTGCATGGAGCCCCAGGCCGAGGGAGATTGACAGTTCTTTTGTGTTTCTTTCATTTGCGAATAATCGCACCAACTGTTGTCACCTTCTCACCAAGCTGCTTGGCAATGGTCTTGTAGCCCATTCCAGCCTTGTGTAGGTCTACAATCTTGTCCCTGACATCCTTGGAGAGCTCTTTGGTCTTGGCCATGGTGGAGAGTTTGGAATCTGATTGATTGATTGCTTCTGTGGACAGGTGCCTTTTATACAGGTAACAAGCAGAGATTAGGAGCACTCCCTTTAAGAGTGTGCTCCTAATCTCAGCTGGTTACCTGTATAAAGGACACCTGGGAGCCAAAAATCTTTCTGATTGAGAGGGGTTCAAATGCTTATTTCCCTCATTAAAATGCAAATCAATTTATAACATTTTTGACATGCGTTTTTCTGGATTGTGTTGTTATTCTGTCTCTCACTGTTCAAATAAACCTACCATTAAAATTATATACTGATCATTTCTTTGTCAGTGGGCAAACGTACAAAATCAGCAGGGGATCAAATACTTTTTTCAATCACTGTATGTGGTTAATGCAGCCATGATTCCTTGCAAAGGTATCAGTTTGGTGTTTTAACATCTTAACACCTATATTCTTAGTTTTTTCGGTAAAGTAAAAAAAAAACTAAGAATATGAATTACTGCAGTCACGAAAGCTTTAAATCAAAATCTTAACACCTGTTTTATTGGCAGAAAGGAGAAAACCAATTATAATATCATCCCATCATGAATGTGGAATTTCCATCAATGGCTCAGGGATTTTATCAGGTAGATGACAAATACCACGTGCATGTTTGAGCAATTAGAGAAAAATAGATATTTATACTTTGAAATAAGCTTAGAATAATTGTCTCCCTCCATTGTACAATAAATGACTACACGTTGCTCAATTAAGTTAAAAGTCTCAAAGAGTGGGAAAACAAAACAACTCAGGCTGCACTTTAATGAAGTCGTTCAGGATACGGCGCACATTTCACATTGTCGCCGCCTCGTTCATAATGGCCAGGTCGTAGAATCGATGTAATGTTTAATGGAGCTAAGCAAACTTGACCCATGATCACCTCTTGCATCCCACCCAACCCCACTCCAACCATCCTCACCCACCCCCATCTCCCCCCACCCACCCACCCCCATCTCCCCCCACCGACCCACCCCCATCTCCCCCCACCCACCCACCCCTCTCTCCCCCCACCCACCCAGCCCCTCTCTCCCCCCACCCACCCACCCACCCCCATCTCCCCCCACCCACCCCCCATCTCCCCCCACCCCACCCACCCCTCTCTCCACCCACCCCCCATCTCCCCCCACCCACCCACCCCTCTCTCCCCCCACCCACCCAGCCCTCTCTCCCCCCACCCACCCACCCCTCTCTCCCCCCACCCACCCACCCACCCCCATCTCCCCCCACCCACCTCCATCTCCCCCCCACCCACCCACCCCTCTCTCCCCCCACCCACCCAACCCCTCTCTCCCCCCACCCACCCCTCTCTCTCCCCACCCAGCCACCCCTCTCTCTCCCCAACCCACCCACCCCTCTCTCCCCCCACCCACCCCCATCTCACCCCACCCACCTCTCTCCCCCCACCAACTCCTCTCCCCCCCGAACGCCCCTCTGTCCCCCCACCCACCCCTATCTCCCCCCACCCACCCATCTTTCCCCCACCCACCCCTCTCTCCCCCCACCCACCCCTCTCTCCCCCTACCCACCCCCAGCTCCCCCCCCACCCACCCCTCTCCCCCCCGAACACCATCACCCGAAGCAACTCGTATTGAGAAAAGCAGAGGCAAAAGAACAGCCCTTTCGCTTGCGATCCTAAAAACTTAACTTTTTCTTACCAGGTAAGGCCCCACTGAGACGTATCGCTCTTATTTTCAGAAGCGACCTGGCCACAAATGATAGCTCAAACGAAGTGGCTTATCGGGTGGAAATTTATACCAACAGCCAAATACTCAAAACGCACGTGGAATCTAGACGTGGGGGGAAAAAACGGAGGACCCAGAGAAAAATCCACGCGACTACGGGGAGAGGAGAGAGACGCGCAAACTCCAAATATACAGCAGTCGTTAGGGTCGGGATCAAACCCACGAC